TGCGCAATAGTACCCAGAGGTCATTGGGCCCTCAACACCATGACAACTAACTGTAATCCAATGAGGTGTTCACATACTGATCACGCGTGTTATCCTCAACACCATGACAACTAACTGTGATCCAATGAGGTGTTCACATACTGATCACGCGTGTTATCCCTCAACACCATGACAACTAACTGTGATCCAATGAGGTGTTCACATGCTGATCACGCGTGTTATGTTGATGATGATTGACGTTGTCATGCACAGACAGGGCCGGGTCACATGACGAACACGAGCTTTTGCTTATAAATCTCTTTGGTCAGTTGTTTTGTATTTCAACGTATTTGGATTGCGATCTCCTGGAGCATTATAGCGCAAACGCGCAAAATACTTACAGACGCATATACAAGTCGTATTAATCGCGGCTAATCCACACTGAAAGATGTTAATGAGCGGTAATTTTGGAACGGATTGAGTCGCGAACGCTTGAAAGCCATGAAAGCCTTGAATGCCTTGTAAGCTAAGTATGCCAATGTCTTAGTTGAAAAACGTTCACTTGTTGTAAAAAGCAAAATCTGAAATCTGAAACCAAACTGCATTTACTCTATGCAATCTATTGAACAACGCTACTACCGTGAGACTGAAGAACATAACTATATGGGATGCAAACTGCTTGTGAAGAAAGACGACATGTTGGATTCACTTGATGGCAAGAAACGTAGCTACGATAACAGTACGAATGGTATTAATTTCACGATCAGAAAGGTGAATGTTTGTTTTCATTGTAGTTGTATGGATATTCTTTTTTAATAAATACGTGATCCAAAACCCTGTGTTTTTTTGTGTATAATGTTGTTATGTTAAATATTGTTTACGCAATTGTCTTGTCACAAGCGGCCCAAGCTCACGTCTCGAGAAAAAGCCAACGATTAATTCATGAACGCGTCACGCGTTGTGTGACTCGGTGTTAAGTTACGAGAGGAACTGCACGTTATAAGGAATAGTACAGGGAACGAAGTATGGTCGATTTACAACGATACATATTTCGAAATATGAACATTTTCTCGTAAAATGAATAAAACTTACTCATACCCTGTGTATCCGTTGTATTTTCTTGTGATTTCTGCCGTTTTAAGCTTGCTTTACCATCACTGTTGTTCACATCATCTACTTTTATTACGTTGATAAAATCTGTAGAGACATCACACCAACCAACTCGCGCGCAAAGTAAGAAGACTTTATTAAAGGCTTGAAATAATATTGCGATCGATTTTCATCAAGAAATGGGCCAGGAATATTCCACAATAGTGCAAATAATCGTGAAGGCGGATTGCAGAAAAGCGATTGCGTGACGCTTGGTAAGCTGTAAGATGACATGTTATTATATACCAGACGTAAAAACTCTTCAGATTCTTAGTCTGCATTTTGTACCCACTCTGCAGTCTGCAGTCTATATTTTGTATCCGGTCTGCAGTCTGCTGTCTGCATTTTGTATTAACAGGTATCCATGGCACCAATACAGTTTATTTTTGGTTACATTTATTCGCAAAACACACATAATCTACCACAAAATACCTGTGAGTGAGGTAATTCGACATTTTCTTTCTTTCCCACATTAATATTCTTCTTTCCTTTTGTAAGAATGTAGACATCACTCACAATGTTTCAAGTAATCCACCCACCCTACAAAAAAGGAACTCTTGCACGCATAGCATGCCTATGTTTTGAAATAGGTTATGCCCTTGGCCAGACTTGAGCGCACTATTTCAGTATACTAGTCCGACACCCGTAGTATCACTACACTTGATTCCAAGGATCCAGTACCATCCAGGTATTCCAGTTACCCTGCTCACAGGGTCTAGTTCTTTATTATTCTCCGGAGATCGGAAGTGAAAATTAGCCAATCATAGTAGCTCATAAAGTGGCTCGGTGGCCCTACAGAAAATGACAAGGTTTGTGCATGTGAGGTGAAATTTCCATTTCCTTTTGTTTGGATCACATCGCCCTCGCATGATTCACGAGTGATTGCGCCGCCAGTAGCCGAATAATCTCACTTGGAATAATTGAATTTGAAAAATCGGCAATTCTAAGCTAACTTGAGGGGCACCGATAGCGTTAAGTGGTTTGCTTGTCTCACCTTTTGTCGAAATTTGCATGACATATCAGTTACAATTAACGTATCGAATCGTTTTTTATAACCCGAGGCTTGATATGCATCACGACCATTCTTTAAAATTCATTTTGCCGAGAATTTTTTCACGCCGGCCGCTCCGATTAATTGCTTTTGTATTGAAAGCTCATGTACCGCAAATGTCGGCATCGAGACCTGTCATAATATTGATACAAAACCGTCTGCGAGCGCTTGATGGATATTTGATTATGGACAAGAAATCTCTGTTTTCATCCTTGATGAGATAGAAAGGGAAAAATTAACCCGGAGGTTTCATATTCCAGGCACATAGAGGGCACGTTACGTTGGTTAAATCAACGAACTTATTCGATCACATTTCGGTCAAGCCTCTTCGTACGCCAACGCAGCCGTTACCTATCGAATTTCTCATTTTTCCAAGCAACCTGTTGCAGTATGCAAAATTTTCTTTATACGAGGTCATTCGCCAGAAAAACTTCCTTTCCTAATATAATTGTCACATATAGATCTTTTTATCGATTACATCAATCAAATTTCGCCACCTTCATCGGAGGAGGGCCTTACCAACTGTGTTTCTGCACAAGGCACATTGGTACATGGCACGGGAGAGTGGGGTTATCAATGAGCAATTTTGGCTCGTGCAGTATCTTTTACTTATAAAGTATTGTACTCAAACTTTAACATTTTTTTCCCTTGTGTAATAATTTTTGTTGAAGCGCTAATGAACGCTTTGCCTGGGCTGGGTAGGGCTAGGACCCCCTCACCCCACCCCCGCGCAAAAAGGTGTACATTGTACTATTCACAACGCTTACTAATGTTCGCAATGCAGCATAATGCACACTATTTTATCGATGGCCACACACCACAGCTTGTTATCATGCAACGCCCTCAGGTAATTTGTGAAATCTATTTTCACGTGAAAATAATCACAAAAATAGCTGAGGTCAGTACCGAAAAGAACCCTTAATAGCTGTATTTAGGCCCGAATTTCCCCTTAGGGCTACTGGTGTAATAGAGCTACCGAAACGCCAACTGCAGGTTTTTCCAGACCAAAATAATACTTGATTCTCTGATTTAAAAAAAATTTACTAGTGTGTAAAAAAAAAACACAAATAAATAAATTTGAAAACATAAACAAAACGACGCTCTGCGAATGTGTCAGTTACGTAATACATTGGTCGTCCAAAGATATTGTTCCCCTGTCAATTTTTTCAGGGATTTGACTTTTTGCGAATTATCAGGAGCCCAAATTACTCATTGCATCAGGTGGGTGCATGACTATAAGACCACCTTGTTAGACTTTTCACGCGGGATTTCCAATCTGATTAAAGTTGAGAACCAGGTGACTTTCATGACCTATACCTCCTACATCAATAAGAAACAGTTTAAAATGCAATTTTTCAATGTCCGGTCACATTTCGTTTAAACGTACACTGGACCTTTCGTTTTTTTTGCGTTGATTGCCCCGTGGCAATCCCAGGACCCTTTGCGCATAGCAGAGGGATCCGATTACTGGCAACTCATTCATTACACAACATTACATTACCCTAAGCTTGCCACGAGTAAGAACGACTAACATTAGTTTGAATTTAGTTTACAGCAAAACATTTATATTTGTCAGTGAAATTCAATCCTTTTTTTATCGATAAAGAGAGGCTTCGGAGTATGTTTGATTGAGATTCACCGCACTGGTTTACGAGTTTTTTCAAGTTCCGTTTATTAATAAATGGTAATTTAAAACTGGACTTCTTTTGTTGTTTGTCAGGCCAACTATTTCAACGCAGTGATTCAACATATGAATATATAGTTTTCCATAGCTAGAATGAACATCAGAGTATATTTTCATGCGTGATGGGGAACTGTGTTGAAAATTGTGATGACGAGATGATGAAAGGTCACGTGATTGCCAATCACTTGACCGGAACATTGGCACATGGCAAGATCAAAGTGCCCGGGTCAAGTCAAGTCATGTGCTGCGTTGTCTTCTTTTTGACCAAGCAAGTGATTGAAGTAAGCATCTTGCTGACAGAAGACTTGCCTAACAAGGGAGAAAGGAGACCACCCTTAAATCAACGGTATGGTGCGAGCAGGCGAAAGAGAAAGTTTGAATTAACACAAACTGATGGCGTGAAATAAATAAATAAATAAATAAATGGATGAATAAATAAATAAAGGAAAACGAGAGACAAATCGATCCTAAGAGAGTAAATTTCACAAAAGGAAAACCTGTAAAAAAGAAAAAATGATGCTTCGATAGGACCAGTTTGACTGTGGAATTACCTCCAATAGCTGACAAAGGTAAGCTACATTTTTGAGATCGGGGCAATTTTAATGGATTCTTTGTACCTCGCAAAGAAAGTTGATCATAAGTTATACACAAGATAACTAACGTGTACCCAAGCAATAACAATTGCCTGAATCGTGATAATAAGTTGATGAGGCAATAGGTTGTTAGGTATATTACGTAACTACTCACTAAAAACGTGTTCAACGTGGTTGGTCCCACGAGCCATGAGAGGGTATTACAAACACGTGAACTTGTCCATTTTGACATCCATTATGACTGTCATAATTTTGTTACCATAGACATTTATGCAGCTTTTCCCCCTTCTCAGTTTGATGTAATTTTTTAATAGAAGATTGATCAATTATTTTTCAAGTGGATGATACGAATAGCACTTGATAAAAACATTCAATCAAAACTTCATGGTGTCAAGAGGTTCTTTGGAAATTACGCATGGGCGTCGCGTCATACCATACTCCAGCGTCACGTTCTCCTTTTGATGAAAGACCCCCCTTCGTACGAGAGAGGACCGGGTAAGTTTGTTCTCCTTGTTCGTACCCAGGGATTTCTGGGATACATTTCTAATATGGCGGCTGTTTTGCACGGACGGCGAGTAGTTGACTTGCTTCCGGTAAAAATTGTGAGTGAGCTTTTTATCTCATTCGCACAGAGATAGTAATTTTTTTAGATAGGGTTCCTTTTCGTGTGCACTAGGAGCCTTAACATTCAGATCCAAGAGCATACATGTACATGATACATCGAAATGTGCACTCCGCGTGCTTTTGATTGGAGTCATGAGGAATGTATTATTTTTTCGGTGGCTTAGTACCGGTTGATTTTTCCACTGATGTCACGCTTTCCTTCAGTCAGTCTGTATGTTGCATGGGGGAGAGGGAAGGGTGGGGGGGGGGCATTGTAATCATTTAGAACAACGGTGCACTGTATTTAACTTGCTGTCTGTATAATTTACAGATATTTGGTTGTCAGCATGTTCGATGTGCACGTTTGGCCAGGAAAGTTGCAGCCTCAAGTTCTCTGTCTCCTAAATCTACAAAACAGGTCAAAGAGCCGGTCAGACAGCCACATAAACAGCTAGTAAAACGAGTCAAACCTGATATGGTAATTCATTTATAACTAGCCTTGATTGTTATTCTTGGTTTTGTAGCTATTACCTTCAACCTTTTTCACCTTAACATCAGAATGCATATTCTCCATACTGTTCTCTATACATTTATCAAGGTGCTTTAAAAGGAGACTTTGTTTAACAATCAAGAGCTTCTTAAGTTTCTGACCATTTCCTTTATTTACCTGACCTCAGTGAGTGATTTATAGGTGATACAGAAAGGGGACATTAGATGCTAGTTAATTTTGAGGGTTAAAACATTTCTGTTGTTACTGTACATTTGGAATCAAACAAAACAGCATCTTTGAAAACATTTGACATGCTAGCTCTTTCACTCCTTAACTGCCAATCCTACTCCAAAGTCATGGGCCAATGCACATTTGACTAATTATTTTTCAGAGTTCATCCTTGTTTTGAGTTTTAGAGACCAGGTTATTTTACGTCTTTAGTGCAGGTATTTGACTGTTACGCTATAGTTTTTTACAAACTTTACATAATGTAAGTACACAAATGGCAAGTTGTGTGAGATACTCAAAACGTCACTCAGGCAATGATGGGGATAATATTTTGAAAACCTGAATCTTGTTGTCTTTTTTGGTATAACACACAGGATATGAAGTCTGCACTTTCAAGACAACTGAGCAGGAGGAGAGATTTGGCTTCTCAAAAAAGACCACTGCTGGAGCAGCAGAGTAACAAAGAGACAATATCAAAAGGACGCAAAGAAATTGTCATTGAGCCATCTTGTTCTGAGGTGCACATGCAGAATTGATATTGATAACTGTAGCAGTGAGTAATAAGATGGTGAATTTTTACAAGCCACATAACTAATGCTACAACTTCTAATGTAATTAGGTGTGGCAAATGGTGCAGCACTGGGTGCTAGAGTATAAAAGGTGACCCAAGGTTCCCCAAGGGGGAGATGTTGTGGCCTGATGGTTAGTCCACTGCACTCCAGGTTGATAGCTCTGGGCTCAAGAACTGGCCAGGTCATTGTGTTGTGCTCCAAGGAAAAACATGCCCTCAAGGTGCCTTCCTCCACCCAGGAGTATAAATGGGTGGAGGCAAACTGTCAGGGATGCCTGATGAAATACTTGGGGGTAACCTTGCACTGAATACCCCATCCAAGGGGGAGTAGTAATGCTCTTAGCTGCTTCATGTTATGGAAATTAGGAGAAGCTCCTGCTGGATTGGACACTTGGCTTGAGTAGAGACTTAACCTTCCTTTACCCAGGTCTCCCAAAAGTTTTTTGGTACCCATTGAAACTCCTGAGTGGAGAGGGGGTGGTTCTAGAGTAAAGTGGTTTTCCCAAGAACACAGGGCTAGAACCTAGAATTTCTAATCCAGAGTCCATTACACTGACAACAGGGATCTTACAACATGCACAAGGAAAAATAGATGGTTAGCTCAACATAACATGTGTGGTTAGTTTCAAGTCTCAGCCTACATATACCAACCCCTGAAATTACAGGTTATCTCTTCTCTTTCATCTGACCTTCCTCTAGCAGTCTTGTCAGACCTGGGTAATGACTGATCATGCTAATAACTTGAGATCCTGCTCAGTAAATTACCTTTCAAAACTGCTGAGACATGCAAACATCTTTGGAGGCAACAAAATTAAATAACTTACTGATTACTCAAAACTGTTATCATGCCATCAACGGATTGAAAGTCAGCTTGTGTGGTATGCTGTAAGATTTTATTACATTTCTTAATACATGTGCTATGATTGGTCAATTAAGTAGGCCATATTTAATATCCCCCCCCTCTATTTGGACTCAGAGATAAAACAGATATCTTAACTTGTTATCCCAGTCGATAACTTACAGTACAGACCTGAAATTCAGTTAAGATACAAATGTTGCAAAATACTTACATAAATGTAAACAATTTTTTAGTTTAACAATTGCTTTTTTTTGCTGATTTTCTCATTTAGAATCCTGCATTCAGGCCAGACAAAGATGTAGATATTGAGTTACAAGTTTCATCATTTAGCCCTCTTGGATTAAGAGAGGATGTGTTGAAGGCTTTGTACAATATAAATGTTACAAAACCCACAGTCATTCAGGTGCATGAATTTGGAAAATTTTGAAATTATTCTGAAGCAATCATGGCTTGTTATTGTGGTGTACATGTAGCATTACAGGCCAAGTTTGTTATACGGTTAAGCCTTATTGTTTAGGTCTTATTTGGTTGACCAAATTTTCTTCAATTTTTATCTGGAATTATCAGTTCAATTTAATTATTATTTATCACATCCATTTTGATATCACTGATGATCCTTGCAATCTGATTGGCTCTCTGCAGTGCAATACTCTAAATTGCATCTCTTTTCCCACCTAATAAGAAAATAACACTAAAGAAAACAAAAACAACCAATCAGATTTTAAGATGTGTTCAAAGTAACCAATCAGATTGCAGGAAAATGATGGGCAAGGAAACCATCAGGCTGAAGACCAACATTTTTTTCTAATCAAAATTTTGCAATTTCAAAATGGATATGTTCTGTTAGATGTAATGAATAAACAATTACAAAAACAATCAAAAGGGAAGAAATATGAATGCAATTAGATGGTAATCGGTTTTCCTTTTGTGCAATTTTTTCCGAAATTATACTTGTGATTTCAAAATGAACTTGCACTGTAGGTTTGTTTGATTTTGAAATTGTGCAGATGATATCAGATCAAATTGTACTCTACTCAGTTCAATTATCATTATTTATCATCACCTTAAGCTTTCACAAAGCAGAATTACAGTACTTAGCCAGATTTTGACAGCTCAAGACTTACTGAAAACCCAAGTAATTTTGACTGTGGCAGTATCTTCAAAAGAATGTCTGCTAGTTTTACATTTCAAAAGGAATTCTCAGAGTACACTTATCAATTAGCTTATTTGTAAGTACTGACACACAGAAATACATTTTTGTTATCTAAAAAACTTGTTCAAATGTACATATTTAACACAGAAATTCACTAAAATTTTGGTTTTAAATTTGCAGATGGTAACAATTCCCCCATTACTTAAAAGAGAGCATGTGCTTTGTGCTGCACAAACAGGTATTGAACTGGTTAATTGCTGTAGATAACGGGACAAATTTATCAGGCAGGGGTTGTCATCTTGATGTAACTCCAAATTCTCCTGGCTGATTTACCAGGTAAAGTAAAGCAACGAGACAGGAGAATTACAATAAGACCCTAGGAATGAGAGCCACAGGCCGCAAATTTTACAGTTCTTTGATTGAGAGACTGATTATTATTCCAGGGACTGGAAAAACTCTTGCTTACCTGGCGCCAGTGGTTCACCATCTGAGAGAAGACGAGCGCAAACATGGTGTCATAACGCGTCTGAAACGACCACGAGCATGTATTGTTGTTCCAGGCAGGGAACTTGCTATTCAAGTGTTAGTAAGTATCTTTGTCTCTCTTCTCTAATCTTAGAACTCGTAAAATGAAAAGTTAGATTCTCGGCAATCTCTGAGCTAAGGGGCTCCTTAAGTTAAATTGGACAGCTTTTCTTACTGGTTGCCTTTTGTAGAGCATTGGGTTAGCGAAAGACTTTCCTTAAGGCGGTAGAAATGTAGCCCGACTGGAGCGCAAATTACAAGAAACTTATTCCCCATCGAGTTATCGACATTGCTGATCCTAGCAGTATGCAGAACGCGTGTCATATGAACTTTGTAATAGACCTCGCTAGCCGTAGAGTCTCTGTGGCTCAGTGGTAGAGCATCGCAGCGCGGAATCCGAAGGTCAGAGGTTCGATTCCTCATGGGGACTCAGAATTTTTGCTTTGTCTCACGCTCGTGACAGGACGAAAAACAACTTTCCCCAATAAGATTAATTGTTCCATTCAGATTTGTCTTTCAAATTGACTTCATTTGCGTTGGCCTTAAATGGGTCTGTAACACACACAGGCGTGTTAAATCATGTATCGTCATGAATAAAGTGTAAATTAAAAGCTTCACCTTACTAGACACAAGTACAGAATGATCGTGGCAGGTGAGGTGCAATTTATGCAATGGTGAACACTTGCATGACTTGTACCCTTTCTTTTTTTTTTTTCTCCAGGAAGTTGCTAAGTCATTAAGTCATCATGCACGCTTTAAATCAGTTGGCATTATCGGCGGACGGAAAAAGGTGAGAGAGTTCAAAAGTATAGCCAAGGGCGGGGTACCTTAAGTGGTAATTTGTATTAAAGGGGGTGATTTTCAATGATAACACAGCTTGTGATGCATGTAAATGTCAGTGGGTCCTCTGTGCAGTTACCTTCCTCCCCCTTCCCCCCCCCCCCACCCTTTCCTTCTCCCTTAAATGGAAATATCCCACGCGCTTGAAGTTGTTTTGTCGAGGTCGATTAGTAATGAAGTAACACGTTTATAACTAAACTGCTGGCTGTAAAATGTTTCTCTCACAGAAATTTATGAAAAGAGACCTTGCGTCTCCCGTGGATCTCGTGGTTGCCACTCCAGGAACGTTACTTCAATTTCGCCAGAAAGGTACGTACCTTATTGGAACTGATCTTACAAGCACTTACCGAAGATAAAGTGACCGGCTTGCGTGACACGTGCTTATGTTATCGGTCACGCTCCGAGTGCGCTGAGTTGTTCACGGAACGACTCTTAAGAAAGGACCAAGAATACTCATAGTCTTGTATTTTCACTGTGATTTTCAGGGGTATCAATAACTTTTTCATAAGACGGTTGCTGAAAATCTAATAGGCAGCCGTGGCCAGAAAAGGGGTGGTAAGGCAAAAACCCAAACACGAGGGCCTGCTCTCGGACTAAACAGACAGCGGTGAGGGGTCTTATAAGCGGCGGTCCGGTAACCGGCTTTTTTGAAACCTCAGGGATTCTTGTCCCCGTTTTTGTCCTTACTAATGAGTGGTTTCTACTCCTTTTTTTTTTTTTAGATCGTTTGTTTTTCTCGGATTTGTCGTATTTGGTAATTGATGAAGCGGATTCCATGTTTGATTCCTCGTTCAAATCAGACACAATGGAAATTCTCCAATCGATCTCGGTGAGCCGACACGTACCATCGTATATTTTTCTTTGCATACGCGCTTGACGTACGCACAGCACATCCCTAACTGAGTGATTTCTACAGGGTGTTAATTTACAACCGGCAACCCACTTGGTAGAGACGCTTTGGTCTTTGCTCCTGACCCTTAAACTCCCATTAGTGACCAAAACCGAATTTCTCCTTACAATATCACCACAATATTAAGCGGACAAGCGATGAGAATAAAGAGAGATATCAATTAGTGGATTATGAATTGATCCAATACCAAATTCTTTAAACTATCATCAAAAGAATTGTATGGCAGACAGTTAGGAAAATTACTTATGAGATCTTAGGAGTGAAAGGGTTGATACAGGGTAAGATTGTCCAAGTACATTCCCTTGTTAATGTCATTGTGGTACGTTCTTTTGTAAGATTCTATTTATTTCTTTCCCTCGGGCTTTCTTCACCGAGGAGTATGAACGTTCACATGTGCTTTGAAAGGGGACAAATGCTTTGGAACCGTTCATTCCGCCCTGGGTTCGTAATACCATCCCTGTAGCTTCATTTTACACAAAACAGATACATTTTGGCTCAACCCGGAGTATTTGTGGGGAAAAAAATGCACTCAAAGGCAGACAAGTACTGTCGTTGTTGTTATTAAATTTTACATACCCTGTTGCGCTTTGATTTAATTTGTTGAATACATATTTTCAATTTGCCAATGGGTACAAGTTGGTCATTCAATCACCTCTCATATTTCATCCCAAATCATTGTTTTATTTCATGTTTTGTTCGGTTGCGACAACCGCTTTATGTAACCTTGTTACAGATACGACAAGGTAGACCATCTCCTCCCAGCGAGCAGCCGGTGGACACACAAGTCACTATTGTCGGTGCAACGATGCCAAATGAGTTGGTGGTAGACACCTTACAGCGAATGCTTCCGGTAAGATGCAGTGTGATCAGCATGTCGGGTGTTTCTTTTTTGTTTTTGTTTTTTTTTCCTATAAGGAAATCGGTTGGATAGTTTTTATTCCTGTTTCGTTTATCTCTTTCAAGCCTCACGTGTGGGACATTTTTTCTCGTGACGCATATAAAGCAATAATCAGGAACTGTTTTTCTTTGATATTTGCAGTGAGGCGGTTCATTTTTTCCTGCAATTATTGCCTGGTCTCTTTGAAACAAAGGCCGCATGCGTCGTTGATTGTAACAAGCGAGTATATATTTCTTTCAGCGCTTAAAAACATGTTCTTCTGGTCTTCACCGCGTTCTTCCCCATATCAGACATAGGTTTGTAAAAATCAAGCAGGAGGAAAAGGCAGGTAAGAGAAACAAGGATGTCTGTGTTATAATAACTTCCTCTGTTTAGAGGGGACGGAACAAAAGTTCTTTGAGTTGTGAGTAGAAGTTTAAATATGCCGCGGTTGTAAAACTCCGGTCAAAGTTCTCTTTGAAGCAGAATTAAATTATCTTCCCCTGCATATGAAGTTTCGGATCTTAAATCAAAGTCCTGCAGCAGTACACAGGGATATTAGTTTTTTTTAAGGAAAAGTTTACCCTGGAATTCTGTCAACGATGTCTGTGAATACTCTTGCATTCAACGTTTTAAAAATTCGTCGAACTTAATTAAGTGTAGTTTAGTATTTTGTTTTAATTTTTTTATTTTTGCAGGCAAACTCCTAAGACTCCTGAGACACGACCTTCAAGATCCTTTTCAGCGAACTATCGTGTTCTGTAATACCACAGAGGCTTGCGATTTTGTGGGGCATTTTCTCGTAGAGAAGCGTATCAAATTTATCCGACTTCACAAAGTGCTTCCTTCCAAGGTAATAAATTTGCTAGCTTGTGATGGTTAGGTCAGTTCTAAGTTAACTCTTTACACCCTAACATCAGCATGCATGTTCCCCATACTGTTTTCTATACATTTCCTACTGCGCTAACAGGGAGAATTTGTTGAATAATCAAGAGGTTTTATAGTTGATGATCATTTCCTTTATTGGATATCTTAACGGATAGAATTTTTTTCCAATTTGTACTAAAAGGTTGAACAACAGGGAAAACGAACAGTTGTCCAATGTTTTTGTTTTGGCGATTTTTTTGCTTATTGAAGGTGAGGAGCAACTTATTTGAAGAGTTCCAAGAGGGAAGAGCAAGAGTTCTTGTTTGTACTGATATAGCATCTAGAGGAGTAGACCCTGATGTAAGTATGAACGAAGTTTACTTCATTCTGCTGAGCCGTGAAGGGGAACTCAGCGGTCAAAAGCGGGTGCATGCGCGAGGGGATTAATTCTGGCCGGCCGCTTGCCGATTTCCCGCGCAACATAAGAAACAACCACTGTCTTGCAAAGTAAGCGAAAGAAATTGAAACGTCCGTAGAAATCTGTAAAAGAAAACAAAAGTAGGGGAAACTGAAGAGACACGACACTATTCGAGTACAAAACCTATTTAAGTACGGGTTTCCTATTGATTTGAGCTTCACCAAATGCGTCATACGCATATATCGTGACTTAGTGTCTTGTGTGTGTGTTTGTTTGTACCTCATGTGGGATACCTTGATTATGAAAGCCTGTAGGCACGCCAACTAATGTTCAACGTCTAACCGCTGTGTACCTCAAGCCGTGGGTGCTTCAGTGCGCTCGCAATACTCTCCACACTAAAACAACCACGGCCGCATACTAGGCCTGAGTTGTGAATTATTTTGTTCATATACGCCACGATGTATACAATTTCTACAGTTCTCAGTTGAGGTGGCTCCAAGGATTGTGACCCGCGCACTGGCGTTATGTTTTTCTGGATAATTTCTGATGTCTTTTCAAGATCACTAAAAGAGACCAAAATGTTATGAACAAGATTTGGACTGTTATCCTCTGTAATTGACATTATCATCATGGCTTTACTTCTTTAAGATAGAAAGCGGTCTATTGTTTTACTTTATTTCAAGTTTTCTGAACATTTAACCAGACTTTGTTCTCCCCACTCTCCCCTCAGGTAGGCCATGTGATCAACTTTGACTTCCCCACGTCGTTAGTGGACTATATTCACCGCGTGGGTAGAACTGGCCGTGTAACGACAGAGACGACATCAACAGGGGTATCGGTAGCCACCAGTCTACTTACTCATAACCGGGATGTTAGAATGGCAAAGATAATTGAGGTAAGACGATGGTCTTTCCTTGTTTGTTGGTCATAATGTATATTAAAATAAAACACCGCTGAGAGAGGATGGCGTTGTTTGCCAGCTGGTAAAACGCGCAGTCCCAAACCGAATGGCCAAAAGTCATTTGAAACGATTTAAATACGATCGACCTGAAGAAACTAAAACTATTTCCGGTTTCCTGTTGAAAGAAATTGTGATTATGTAGCATCAGTAAGTAAAAATCTTAGCATATTTGTCCAGGACATAGTCGAGAGAGTAGGCGTGATTTTGACGGGCGAGTGGTCAGTACTTTCGGATCAACATGATCAACTGCGCACCTACCCCTCCCCTAACCCAACATTAACCCGAACTTGTTCTCAGTTGACTGTTGGGTTAGGGAAGGGTAGGTGTGCAGTTGTTTAGATACTGACATTGATCCGTGTGCCGAAAATTGTCGCTGCCATAGTTGATCTCTACAGCAGCGGAAGGTTGGTGAGAGAAATAAATATAAATTTGTACTAAGGGGGGGGGGGGTGGGGGAGCGACGGTCGAAAGGAAGGAGATGGAAGGGCTTCCTCCCCCACTGCCCACTCTAACTTTTCATCAAACATGGTCGGTCGGGTAAACGATTGCGCGCTTGTAACGTTAACTCGCGCTATTAAGACGCCTGTACTGCAGGTAAGCCATGACGTGGAATCGATGTCCTTTCTTTTTCAACAATTGCCTCATCTTGGTGATACGTTTACGACGGTCAGTGCCCTTTGGCGAATCGATTTGTTGTAAAAGTATGTTCTATTGACATTACTGGCTTGTTCCATTGTAGCAAGCAGCTAAAAAACAGCGACGTCTGGAAGGTATCGAAATTCGCCCCAAGCGCCCCTCTGCAGAGCCTGGCCCCAGAGAGATCTGGGAAAATAAAGAAATAAACTTTAAAAAGTTGGATGATGAAGACTTTGACGAGGAAGATGTAGAGTTCACGTGACATGCGGTGTCTCAGATTGAAACAAACATTTCTTATTTATGGAAATACATCGTTAACACTACGAGTTACATGGATCCTTTGAAGTTCATAGTGAGCGTGTCTTTGGGCCCGTGCTTGTCTTGCGAAACGACTGTAAGTGCCTTATCAAGGAAAGTGAAGATATCTTATGACTAAAATGTCGACCAAAATGAAAGGAAAAAAAAACGTTGAGAAACGTCATTAAAGATAAGTATATGTGCAGCTGAGTACGTCTTCAGTTTTTTTAATTTGTTCTGTTGACACTACAAGAATTATGTACGATTGTGTATAATTATTGTTAAAAAGTCTTCTTGTTTTAATTAATGTCTTTATTTTCAGTTATTAAAATTAGCATTAGTGCACTTGCTGGTTAAGAGCCATATCCCACACAAGACACAAGGATCTCTTCATTATACATTCATTCAACGTTATCAGAAGTGTAGATCATGCTTCTTACCTAAAATAAACAACTCTATGCAAATGAAGTGCCCAAGTTCCCCTCGCTTTTTTCTCCTCCGCTTCAATTACGCCGTCTGCTTATCTGCTCTGTTTTACCAAGTGAACGCCTGAAACAGGTTATGTTCGTTGATAAAATTGAAGCGAATATTTCTCCATTAGTTTCCGTCCTAGTGTACCTAATATTCGAGGTTAAGTAAGGTCTCGGTTATTTCCTGAGGATACCGCGATAAGACAGCACTCAGCAGCTGTTTACACTTGTTGGCGTATGTCCAAAGATCGACGTACAGCCACCAATACTGGTGTGAAATAGCTTACGTGCTTTTTTTGTTATAATTTATTGCGTGGAAAATAGTAAGATAAAGTGAAAAGATGAAGTGTGTCACGAATATTTAATCAGGCGGAAGTTAAGTACACTAATATTCTGGCACTGATTAAATGGGAAATGAATTTTATCATTAGACGTGCGACGTGTGTCGAATGAGGCGTTATTATGTGTTTTATGCAGTATCAAACCCTTGAGTTTAATAAAGCATAAAACTTTGGTGAGCTCATTTCCTAATTAATTAATTTCTTGAAAAAACTCGTGCGTCGTGTTTCATTAGGGTTTCTAAACACTCGAAAATTAATATCGTGTTTGGATACCCTGATGGAACACGATGCACAAGTTTTTGAATTAGTACTTAAGACGCGATGAAATATTGAGCACTTTAGAAATGAAAAAGAGAAACAATCAAGCCTCTTAGCACCCAAATAACCAGAAATTGTGGTCATCAAAATTTAGGACGAAAACTGTGAGGGACACGTGGGGAAACTGTAGGCCTCTTGTGGCCTCGTAAAATTAAAGTCCGCTGTGTAAGAAATGAAAGCGCGAAAATTTCATTTTCTTAGAGTAGTAAAAGCTTTTAAATCAATTCCAAATACGATTTACTTTTTTCGTCAATCAAGTGTTTGTTTCGCCTCCTTCATGATTAGTCGCGGCCAGTTCCACTGAAACCTTTGCTGTTCTTCTCCGCGCGCATTCTCGCCAAATATAAGCCAGAATTCTTTTGTCAAGAATCATGTACTCGACTGGTACGACGGTGAAACTGGAGTAAGCCAAGGAATACGACCATAGATACGCACAATGAACTTCCAAAGAGGAGAACCTGTTTCTTAATAACACCATGAGTGCAAACATTACCCATAAACTAAGATATGTTGTGATCATTACGATGCAAATCTTGGTGAGTTTGACTTCTCTTTTTACCACTGAAACACCCAGAGTGTCTCGCAAATGGGTTGAGTGATCCTGAACGTATTTTCGAATGGCGTAGAATCTGTAAAACACAATTGCAAGAGAAGGCAAGATCCACAGAGAAACGACGGCAATCATCACTGTCTTGCCAATGATTGCATGAGAGGAGACGTCTCGTCCGGGGCTGTAGCAGGCGTGTTCGCCCCGTACGGCAGTAAGGATATGTCCTGTTCCCCCGGCTGCAGCGGTACAACTTGCAAACAACCAAATGAAGACAAGGAAATATGCGGTCTTCTTGCAAGTTATTTCACGCAAAGGCGCGCGGCAGATGGCGTCATAGCGGTCTATACTTATGACAGCCAGTGTCATGATGTTCACAGCAAAACAAGTGAACATCGTGAAAAACCTTGACAAGCATATAGGGTTATCTGCAATACTCGATTGACTGTTTATAGCTCTTACATGAAGTGGTAGACTGATAAAACACGCCATGAGATCGACGCCTGCAAAATTTGTAATCAGTATTCTATCTGGCGTTAAACCCTGATGGCGATGCTTTAAAATCGTAAAAATTAGAATGATCAAGTTCGCGGCAGTGCCGTAAAAACACGACACTCCCAAAACTGCATTTAAAGCTGTCAATCCTGGACATTCGGCATTAGTTCTCAATGGTTGTGATTTTCCAAGCGCTAAACTGTAATTCGAAGTTGGAAACATACCGGCAATAAGATTCTCCTATAGTTTTGTGTCCATATTTTAAAGACCCGATGCTAAATGGTCGTTTGCATTTGCGCATTTCGGATAACCGTATCACCTGTTCCCAAAATTATTTAAAAATGACTGAGATACCTGTTTCCAAGGTTATATCGCATTTAGGAAAAATTTCGCTATCATCTTCAGTCAGCTAGAGGTCTACTGATAAAGCGTGTCTACAGATAAAGCGTGTATGTATATATCATCATACAAGATGCTTTCATATGCTAATCACGACTCGAAACTGCACTGCACTATCTGTCTAGTGGTAACACAAAAATTGACATTTTGTATGAAAACGTCTCATTAGTTTCCGAACCAATCTCCACTGTAATCAATCTTCTAACAAGGTATAAATTAGCGCTCTTTGGAATAAAGCGAAGTCTAATCAATAAGTTTGCATTGACAATGAATTGATCAAGACTTTAATACTGTAAAGCAACAAACTACTAAAGAAAAACCTTAAAAAACAGAACGAAATCTACTTTATTCAAGCAGAGCAAACAAAACAAATGTACATTTCGACCATACCGTATTTTAATGAAGCATTTTACTTCACGTCAAGAACTAATTACTTGAAGAAAATGTTATGTTCGAAAAGCAAGCGAGTGAATAAAAGGTCGTCTTCACTTATTAATTTCAGATCATGTGGTGATTTCCCACACGAAATACAATATTTGCAATAACATGGGTGTAAGCCGAGTGAAGTGGTAACTCTTCAAAGCCTGAATGACACTTTTGTTAGCAAGGATTACACGATTTTGTTTTTAGCCTTGGGAAAATTTAAATATCTGCTTGAGAAATAAACGGCTCGTATGCGAAAAATTGGTTGGTAGTGAGATAAAAACAATCTTTTTAACGGCGAATTATTCATTTGTACCAAATTCTCTCGTCAATTTATCCCTTTCTAACCTTTTGGCTCCTCGTTATTTTCGTATGTATCGGTTATTTAAGACATTTTATCCAGTAACATTAAGTCATTTATAGTTTTTGGATGGGAAATTGATTTCTAAAACTACCTCTCTAATGGTTTAATCAAACGATGTGTAAACTTCAAACGGCTGAAACAACAACGCTTCCTTCCTGCTGTTAATGTACAATTTAGGGCGAGAATTACAACTCGTGGATAATGCCTATTAACACATACATGGTATTTGTTCGCGGCCATCTTAATCAATAGACAAATTTTCCGATTTTTAATAAAGCGCTCAGTAAGTCAGCATTGATGAAAAACGTGAATAATACATTATTTGTGGAAAAAAAATCCCCAATTTAAAAAAGAGACATCGCTAGGGTTCCCTATCATCTATTGAACGATTAATTATGTCGGCAGTACGACCATATCGTGAAGAAACGCATAAAATTATACACTTTATCCAAGATATCTGAGACACGAGGCGCGCCTGGGTTTCAACAACTGTCTTGAATTCTCACAAACTCGAGTGTCAAGAGGAGGCTACCCAAAATACGGAAGAAGTCATCAGTTGCTCAGGTCTAAGACAAAGCGTATGGCAATTTAATTGTTTTTTTTTTTGTTTTCTTCTAACAGAGAAGAGGGTCTGACTAGGGTTGACCGCGGCAAACGCCGAAGAATATAACTGACAAAACGCGAAAAAAAAAAAAACCCGATAAGCGACACCTAAATACAAACCAAAAACCGACTTGATCCGACACTAACAATATTCGTATTTAGAAAGAAGAACATTCTAGCTTAGGAGGTAGCCACTTTAAATTCAAGATTCAGTTAATTGGATTTCCTGTCATAAAACTTACTTATGGCCCAGTGGGAGCGCGGGCTCTTTCCAGAAAAACGTCAGGTTCTTGGGCGTACGAATTACTCAACAAATATGAATAATTAACTGACGTTTTTCACCATTAATCGAGATTTATCCACAACCGACGAAGATCGAAACTTTTAATCGATTACCGACAAAGTAATTAAGTTCTGGCGGACATTAAGACCCCCAATCTCTTCCCCCTCCTCCCCAAACATAACAATGAAAATATTCCATTACATAAATCCACTGGAAGATTAAATGTAACAATCATAACTGAGTTGCCAAGTGGCCGTAAGGGTAATGTTTAGAAAGGTTTCGCCTTAGCCCCCCCCCCCCCCCCCCGTCATCTGCGAAGGGGAGGCGAGATCATTGTAGGGAGGGAAAGGGGATATCAGACTAAACAAAAACGACAAGAAGATCATTAGCCCAGGTATCTAACGGTTTTATGTGCGATTTGAGGCGCCAAGTAGTAGAATTGTAGAAATGAGCAAAAAAAGCCGCTTAAGGCCACTCGCGGCTTCGCCTCTCATCGCTTTTGTTCGCACACAAAACTTCCAGCTACGATGGCAAATAAAAAAAAAAACTACATGACTATGTCGACAAGCGCGTTAAATTTTCTCCATTCATGAAAATCACCATCCATCGTTACGATTAGTGCTCTACATCTTTACACTCAATGTCTTTGTCTTGTCTTTTCGTTGAAGTCCGTAAATGCTGTGCTATCATGCTGTCGTCGTCGTTATTAATTTCGTCGTCGTCGTCGTCGTCGTCGTCGTCGTCGTCGTCGTCGTCGTCGTCGTCGTCGTCGTCGTCGTCGTCGTCGTCGTCGTCGTCGTCGTCGTCGTCGTCGTCGTCATCATCATCATCACCACCATCATTAACATAATCACCACCTTGTTCAATAAACATTTCACCGTCACTTTCGTTCCTAATGTGACCCATGCGATCGTAAACGCTGTCATCTCTACGATTTAAAGACCTGATCACCTCGAAAACATCAGCTGCTCCATGAATAGAAGTACAGTTACATGCTCCACAAACGACCAAACGTAAACATCTTCCTGTCAAACCAAACCCATAATGCATGCCCACAATGGATCAGAATCACCTGATCTTCAACAAATAACTTGGATCGGTGTCCGTCCGTTTGGACCAACAACTTTTCTTGAGATCAAGCTTGAGACGTGACTGGCTCTCAAACGTAACGTAACCAGCCCACCTTTGATTTGCTTCCTTCGATATCAGCACAAGTGCGCAACCTAACAAGCTCTCCTCTCCTTGCCTCCAGTTCTCGCAGTTGTTACTCTCGTAACTAGTCTTCAGACAAAGAAGCCTCTATATCCATGTGGCCAGTGCTCCTCAGATGCATGGCGACTCCTCGTGGATGCCTACACAATACATTGCACAAAGGGCAAACTACTTCTTCAGTAAACTGTTCTGACGATCTGAAAGTCACAAAACAAAATGAAACATTAGCAAGTAAAGACCATTTCAATTAATTGTTTTAATTTGAGCGATGTCACTTCACCATGTGAGCCGTCACTGTCTTGTTTGAACTCCTTAGAGCAGCAGAGAAGAATATAAAGGAAAGAACCGAAGAGAGAAATACATTTTCCTTCCACTAAACTGCATTCTTTGGCACCTTTTAACTCCAAGGATTTACTTAGCAATTCTCCAATAAGCCCCTCAGTTATGGATTTCCTCGTAAATTAGCCAGAAGTCCGTCTGTTCTCTTAACTTGTTCTTTGGATAATGTGCTGCAGGATTTTCAATACCTTTTTCCATAAGCAGCTGACTATAGTGTAATGGCCGGCTTTCCCCGCAAAAGGGGCTGTAAGCCGAAACCCAAACACCTGACTAACATAACTGGCTTTTATTTAAAAACCCTGTATACTGGTATTGCAAGGAGAAATGAAATCTTTGTCACTTCTGTGATTAACACAAACTGTACTAAAACCGATTTTCATTTTTTCTACCGTATGGATGCCGGCAATCAGCACGAAAAGGTTTGCATGTTATGTACTTTGTTGATAAATGCTAACCTAGGTCCAGTTTTCTTATCCTATTAATTTCCACGTTTATAAACATATATACGAGAAAGTTTCCAGCAGAGAGAAAATAAAACTTAGTTGAACCAAGAGGCAAAAATTGAAACACAACGCAAACATAATTATTCGGCCCATTGCAAAGCTGCTCAAGGAACAGAAGCAAACATTTAAGGCGGCCGATACTTGTTTACCTTCCTTCCAAGCTTTTGAGCCACTCCAACTTTTCCCGCAGTAGGGCCACCTTCTGCCTGGCCTCGTCGTCTTCATCCTCCAAAGGTATGCCGGAGATAGCTACAGCATTGTGTAACGTAAACAGCTGACCGGCATCTGACTCTTTGGTGGTTGCTTGTAGAAGGTAGGCAGGATCGATCTGTGACAAGTAAATAAATTGTGGTTTAAAGCTGTATCAACTTGGAGAGGCTTTTAGGGAGTGATCATGATCTTTGCTTCGCCTGACTTTGACTCTTAATGCAATGTCCTTGAGAAAGCTCAGCATCCAGGAACTAAAGTGAAGTACAATTTGGTTTTATCAGCTATAATGATACTTAAAATTAGCCACTGTAAAGAGTGGCGACGTTTCGAGCGTTAACCCTTCGTCGGATTGAGTCTCCATAGTGACGCTCTATGAGTGGCTAACAAAACTTGCTTGCCCAGCGTCTCAGCCAGTCAGATGCAAACACGTTTTCCTACAAATGACGTGAAAAACCAGTGTCATCCGTGGATTCCCTGGTCATCATCTTTTTCTTATAAAGTATTTCGGTGGGTAGTTGGTCTTGAATTGTACAAAACTCAAACAGCACTTAACGAAAATTCTTCAGTTCGATGCTCGAATTACCTGATTCCAGTAGCCCGTTCTGGGAAATGGGCATGGACTTTTGTTCTCCCTGCGTTTCAAGACAATTCTGAAAAATTTAAAGAAATCGATCATACGCAATTTGAACGACTTTCACTTCAAACATCATACAAACTTGAGAACGTCGGAGATCAATAAGGCTACACACAACACTATACTACAAGATTGGCCTCTATTTTGCGCGTAACAATCACTAATTAACTTGGTTTTATTTTTAGGCGGGAGGACTCCGGTGGGTGGACAAAAAAAAGAATCCCCTCAGACCTCCCTAAGTAAGACAATTTTATTCCTGCCCTCACCATACAACCTAGGTTCAACTTCGTCGGCCCCATGAAAAAAAGAAAGGAAAAAAAAAAGAAAAAAGAAAAAAACACGACACTACCAATCACTAAAATAATGTTAACAAAAACGGGTCAATGTCATTATTTGAGCACCTGCCCACCTACCCTTCCCCAAGTCAACAACAATCAACTAATGACAAGTTAGGGTTAATGTGGGATTAGAGAAGGGGTAGGGTGCGCAGTCACTGAGATACTGACATTGATCATCAAAAACACTTAACTAAAACCTTACTTAAGCAGCAAAGATCTGCTGACATTCTGAATTCTCTCCACCATTGGAGTTCCCCAGCCAGCTATTGCCTCCTCACTCTCAAACATCTCATTAATAGCACGACGTACTAAATTGATCTGTGGAGCGGACGTTAAGTATCAGAGTTAAAATGGACAGAGGCTTGAAGAAAAGAAAGTTTGAAATGACGCAAAACCATTTACATGTGAAGGAGAAACAAAATCTCTGTAGGGATGGCAAAGGATGGAAAAAAAATTGAGGACGCTTGCATCTTTTTATTCAGCCAAACAATTTTAGAAGATAAGTCACTCTGCACGAAGCCCCAATAAATGTGAAAGGTACTTTGATACCTTGAAAGGGTGACAGGCTATAGGTTTCCTACTCTAACTTCGAATTTATAGATTCGACGTTTGAGTGAAAAAAAAAAAAAAAAAGAACCACCTGAGATTTTGTGAAATGCCTCTCCGCGGAAGAGACGGTAAACACATCCAGCCATTCGCCAAATTCTAACTACAACATAAATTCATTTTTTAATCGAAGTCATCCTAGGCGTTGCCGTTCTGATTGCTTAAGGTGCCTATTGTCTTTTCCCACCGAACACAGAAAGTAACATTTCCTTTATATCCAAACCTTCCACCCTGAAAAACGAATATCTCTCATTTGCTGTCAACTTACATCGACAATGTCATTTTCCCTGAAATCCACCTCAAATACTAGCTCGCTGTCATAATCCGGCAGAAGCGCTTCGTTGGTGGCGGGGTCATAACCCAAACCCACCAACGCCCCTGTGTACTGCCGCTTGTCACCATCAACTCTGTGGACAAACGGACAGGAACGAATTTAAAGAGATTCTACTGAGAAGAAAAAGTTTAGACCATGTCAGCTCTGAGTAACGTCAAAACAGTGGCTTGAATTATAAGAAAACGTTCAGAGAACACGAAAACGCCAAACAGGGCCATAAATTAGCAAATTGGAGTTCAGTCTTTTTTCTCCAAATAAGCCTGTGTCATTCAGTGAATAACACCATGTTTCACTTAAATTACCAGGCTTAAATTGAACATCTCCATTTACATCATCATTGCGCAGAAACATCACATATCGATATCCCTATCCTAGCAGTATACAGGAAGTTTGTCACCATGGACCTAGTTAAACGGCCAAACCTATAATCAGTCTCCTGTAGCTTAGAGGTAGTGGGTCCGAAGCACTTATCGGAAACACTCGGAGTGCTTTTTTCTCCGAGTATGTCTGTGTCAGGCAACAAATAACATGCATATTTCAAGATCATTTGGGTCGGCCAGAGCACACTAGCGGACAAAAAAGAGCGACTGTAAACCGTCTCGGTCCAGTTCTTCAAAGGGCGGATAACGCGATTCGACGGATAGAGATTTATCCGGCGGATAGCGTTATCCACCCTTGGAACAACCGAGGCCTGCTGAACAGCCTATTACACAATTTATTTATAAAAAAGGAATGCAATTGAACGGTTGAATGGAAAACTAGAAGATAAAAAAACAAATGATTGCATTTACCTCATTTCAGCAAAGGGAGTAAAGATTAGCGCCACCAAAGGCATCAAACCGTGAATGTTCGGCATCAAAGTTGTATCCCTAAACAAAATTAACAGGGACACTTCAGGGTACAGTTACAAATGTGGTGACTGAGGTCAACGCAAACGCAGAAAGACGAGGTGAATATCAAATATTTATCAGACAACTGGCGAGGGAACTTTCGATATTTATAATAGTCAGGTATCCATGGTAAATAGAAAAAGATGGATCTCACTATAACGCAGCTTAAAGAAAAGCTTACACCTTTGAATACTTTCTAAGAATAATTACATAGCATTCTTGGATCGAGCAGCTTCATGAAAATGATATCACAGCTAATTCACCTTGCAACCACGGTGGATCCAGTCGCATTTATGCCAACTTTACCCGCGACCATAAACCTTTGATGAGGGTCCTGGGGCTGATCGTTCAGGATGACACTGTTAACCGAGTTTTGCTCAATTCTCACTGACCTGTTGAGTGTAAGAAATGGAGATTTAGGAAAGCCAAACGGAAAAAGCTTGGAAAACACACAAATTGACCAGCTTCCTTACTTCAGTCGTCCAATATTGGTTATGCTGTAGAAACTCATTTCAATGGGGCTCTCAGGACCACGGAGCATCACCTGTGCAAACGAAACACGATGAAAACTTAATAAACCTTCAAAACCAAGAGGCTTATGAAAGTGTCAAGCTTATCTTTCCATATGCGCTCTAAACAGGACTTCACTTCAGTTTGGCTAACATGAAGCGATTACGAGTATCACTACTACTGCTGACCCCTGAAAGGCAAGCTAGTCCAGGTCCTCTCAGGTAACCTCCCAGGCTATCGCCAAGTTTACCTGACAAATCGTCGGTACCTACTAACCCTTTGAGCTCTAAGAGTGATAAGCATCTATCGGTAATTTCTCCTTACATTATCATCCCTAAATCACACACTAAAGCTCATGAGAATAACGAAAATGATCACCAACTAAAGAAACTCTTGCTTGTTTAACAAATTCTCCTTCTCAGCACTTTAGAAAAAAGTTTACAGAACAGTATGGAGAATATGTATATTGATGTTACGATGCAAAGGGCTGATACTCTTAAATGGAGACATGCAATGCGAGAGTAAAGTGTCCTCTTCAACGGCATAACACAGTGACCCTGGTAAAGACATAAATGAGGGAAGGTCCCCCAAAAAATAACTTAACTTGGACTAGCGAGTTTCTAGAAATAAGAGAAATTAAGTCATTTTGTAAAGTAAGCCTTTGAAGCCTAAAATCTTAAAATTTGAGATAAGATAATTTTCTGAATTTCACGTTTGAAGAATCGAACGAAAGCAACGTTGAAACAATCTGCCGAACCACTTCGCTCATTTTTTTAAACAAAAGACAAACCCCATGTGCTGAGAACCTGACTTGTTGAGGACATAGTAATACTCTATGATTACCTTGGTCGCAAACCTTTCATCGACTTCATCGTTGTTTTCAACCAGTGAGTCGATCCAAGCGGTGTTGTCCTCAGGAGGCAGGGTCTCTCCAGACAAAGCACTCTGATGAGCAAGCTAATAAAGAGAGAATTTATGACAAGAAAAAAAAAATCACCCAGTGGTACCTATAAAATTGATTAACCCTTTACCCCCTAAGAGTAACCAGTATCTAACTTCTCCTTACACCCCTGAATCAAGAATTAAGGTTACAAGAATAATGGAAATCATCATCAATTAAAGAAGCCTTTGATTGTTGAACAAATTCTCCTTGTCAGCACCTTTGGAAATGCACTGAGAACAGTAAGGAGAATATGCATACTGATGTTAGGGTGTAAAGGGTTAATATAAGAAAGGGTTCAAATTCCACAGCTCTGACTCAGTACACCTACATGGACGCCATTTATCTGTCTTGGCACGCAAACATGGCCACTGCAACGTCATCTCGAAACGTCAAATACTTAGCCGTTTTGGACAAGAGATAAATTGAATCTTGTGCTATGTTACAGCACTTGTTTCTGTTTTTGTTTCTGTAATTGCTGTCGTCGTACTTGTTGTTTACCTTAGAAGCTCGAGACTCCTCTTGAAATTGCGCAAACCCTTCTTCAATGAGCTTTTGATTGATGTGTATGTCTTCCTCAGTGTTGGTGTCGTACAAATCAACACGAAGAACATTTTTGCACAGCGAATACACCTGTAAAAGCAGTGTAACACGTGACATGAATTGCTTTTTCTTTAGGATAAACAAAGTAAAACATGATGCACAAGCTCTACACTCCGTTCAAACCAACGAGGATACCGTTTTTACTCGAATGAGAGTCACCCTCGAATAAGCACCGCGTTAGGGACAGAAACGATAATAAGCGTGGAGGTCAGAACGGTTTGTACTCATGGCATGCACGAATGCACAGATTCAGGCGTACAAGAGGCATAACCTCCACGCTTCAGAACAATAAGGGGTCAGTGACATCGAAATTGAGTGAAGACACCACTGGTAATGTAATAAAAAACTACCAGAGGCGACAAATGATGACCAACAAACCACGCCTATTTTAGTTACATTAAAAATCACTTACAGATAGAAATTTTACCATTAAATCACATAAAGAACAATTCTGCGTCGCGTCCAATTCTTGAATCAGCGACAACCTCAAATAAGCGCCGCCCTCAAATAAGCCCCGCATTTAAGGCGCAAAAAATTTAAGAAACGCCGCGGCGCTTATTCGAGTTAATACAGTAATTTAAAAACGAACAAATTTTTATCCTTCTTGGTGAGATACGCCGCGCACCTCAACGGTACTTTCTAATGACGAAAAGTACTCCAAAAATATTATCGTTGATAGAAATATTTTTGAATGATGCTCCTTCGTCTAGAGTAGACGGCCGAAAACGAGGCTTTCGAAATTACCAACTGACCAATGGTTACGAGGTTACTGTCGCACCTTCACGTCTTTTTACCATTATCCGCATATCCTCCATCATTCATTTATGGCCTCGCTCTTATCCCCTAATCCCTTTCGGGCGGGAAACGAGGAAAAGAAGAATTGGTACAGGAAGAGCAGCAGTGCTAATCCAAACTGTTACAGATGGAAGACATGATGACTCAGCATCAAAGCCTTAAGAGCACACGCCGCGAAATTGTCTTTATTGCAGAACTAATTGTCTTTATTGCAGAACTTATTATAATAAAAATTGTAAAAAGCTACCTTGGCAGCCAGCTTTTTATTTTCTGTCATCTGAATAAATCGCTGACTGGCTCTGGGAGACCATGTTCCCACAGGACTGTGAGGGGATGGTAAAGGTCCTACTTCACATAGTCTACACTCAAATGCCTGTACAAACAAAAGGGTATCAAAAACAAATAGTCAAAACATGTGAATAGGTGAGCGACATACAGACCAGCCCATTGCTGTGTTCTCGAGCCCAGCACACCCGTCAAGTGGCCTATACAGCCAGAACTTACACCGGTTTCCATTGCATGTACAACTAGGAGCATTACTGGAGCAATTTTACATTGAGTATCAAAAGTATTCCGAAATTGCTTTGGTTTTTGCTTTCTTTCGTTATGTGATTGGTCCAGAAAACTCGCGTTATTTTCTCAACCAATCAGATTCAAAACCAAAACCAATCCCAACTTGGTCACTCACGGTTTCCCGCGTTTCAGGGGTGGAAGGAGGATTTGCCCCGGAATGTAAGTTTTTCTCCGTAGGAATACAAAGAACAAAGTTCAAGCTACACACCTGAAATGGAAGGTCTTCAAACTGTTGTTGCATCTGTCTCAGATGACTGATTCTCAGCACTGCTTCGTTCCCAAAGTCCACGTAAAGAACCTGAGGACGAGAGTCAAAGCCAACAGATGTTGAGTTAGTGCCTGCTCAAGTACTTTGAATACAACGTCTTTAATTAACAACTATTCACCAAAGCGGAGGTGGCCAGGGGTGGATATTTGCCGAGTTGAGAAGCGGGAAGATAAATGTTCCCCGCCAGCCATCGACACTGAGGTAAATAGTTGGTTTAATGTACACTTAGTCTGTCGATCAAACATTTTTGATTCCTTATAAACAGCTTTCATATTTTAAATACTATTATCTACCTGGGTAAATTGATAATTTTTCGAGTACCCAAAAGTTCGAAAGTTCAATCAATGGCAATTTATTGTGGCGCCATTGTTAAGCCATACTGACAAGATGTGGATTGTCAAAGCACGACAATGTTAGGAAGGAGCCGAAATGGCAGAGTTGCATTTTTAAATATCTGTACAATACCATGAGTACAAACAGTTCTGACCTCTACACTGTTTCTGGGTATATGTGGGCTGTTCAAGGCCATTATTCTCGCTCGGTAAAACAATTCGTCTTCAGCATATAAAGCAAGGCACAGCATACCAACATAGAGACTCTTTTGGTCAACATGCTAGAGGAAGAAAAACGTTGTTACCACAAAAGTCACATTACATCAACAACAATACTAATGACTGGTTCTCCTGTGGCACAGATGAATTCTCCTACATCTGTTCGGAGGCAAACTGTTCTTGTGACCTGCTTACAAGATTATGTTTACAAGATTATACTGAGATTTAAATAACTTCATACCCGTAAGTTTTCGCCATGATACATGTTGATATGATTTTGCAACATTTGAAGTTGCATAGCGGATTGTCTGTCGGGTTTCTGAGCCCAGAAGTGACCAGCATCTATCACCTGTAATACACGTTAAAAACGTAATGTCACTCCCAAGCATCATAAAAACAAAGCACGTATACTGGACAAAACGCTACTTTACAGGGCACAGCAGTACTGAAGAGTGCACCGGACTTGCACAGCCACGTACTAAATCTTCCCACTACAGATGCGGCGAAACTTACCCCCAACATTCTGACCTAAATAGGTGCTTGCCTTACAGAGAGACATGGTAAAGTGGCACCGATAATACTGAGATAAAAAAAAACTGCACAATGCATACAAGTCCGTCCTTATTCAGAATGGAATTAAAGTCTTACCACTGAAGTTATGATTTCCAGGTAGCCAGTTCGAGGAAGGTCAACCTATTGAATTAGTATGAAAAAAAGTTATAGTTCAGTATCAAGATAGAGCTATTAAATGAGGACGAAACAAGTATGGTAACGTGTGATTTGAATCTAAAACACTTAGATCAGATCATCGCCAAGAGACTTACCATACTAACTAAAAAGACGCTTAAAATGGTAATTTCTTATCTTTATGCTTTACGTACATGTGATGTTATTCTTCTATACATTTACTATAAGGACACAAAAAGCAAACTTTTACACTGCTAATCTACAAGTGATGAGTTGAAGCCACACCTGAATACTATGTTTAATTTGCTGTCCCTCGGCAATGCGCTTGAAAGCTCAATGGGAGGGTGAAGGAATGGAGGGGGGATACTTCCTTACAATAAGCTGAAGGGGATGTCCCGTATGGATGGTGTCATATTTTCACGACTGGATTGACGATAAGGGGGTTATTTTTTAATAGAGTGACAGTACGAGGTCGCTCATTTTCAGGTTTTGGTAGTAAGAAAATCCTGGTAAGTAGGGGATTTAAATTTGGGAGAATTCGCGGTTAATTAGTTGTTAACGAATAACCAAAGTAAGTGAGATGGGGTCTATAATTGGCCACAGAAGAGATTATAATGGAGTAGGGGCTCTGAGAGGCCAGCAGCACATCCCAGAAAATATTGACCCAAGTACCCCCCAACCCCCTCCCCCCACCCTACACTCCGGTAAAGGCTATGTACATTATAGGCCACAGTGTGTGTACAATACCTGCTGTGGTTCTTGAACACGAGTCACACTTCCAGCACCTCTTGCTGATAAATTCGTAGCAACCCTGAGAAATACATGATGGAAATAGCAGTTTGTCAAAGAGCCGAGATATTACATCATCATCTTCATCATCATCATTCCCTTGCCTTTTATAAAACAATAACGATAAATAAATTAACAGTATTATGATTAGAAGGCGAGAAGACCTCAGCAAACCACTCGGCTTATGGGAGAGGCCACCTCACTGAATACAACATATTATGAAAAAGAAATGTTGCAAATGTGCAGCTTGGTCAATTCAGTGTTTATTTTCGTCTTGACGCTACGAAGACTTGACGAACGAGTAACTGACACAGGAAGAGAGTTTCAAATTTTAGGACCTTAGTATGACACGAGGCTAAATTGCCACTTCTTAACCATTCATTTATTTAAAACCACAGAATTAAAATGCCTAAATACAGGAGTTTGACCAGTGCTAATGCAACATTGAGCCACTAGCTCATTTGAAAGAGAGCAAAGACTGTAATCTGACCTGTTTGTTCTTAGTTTCCCCTTTTCCGCGCTCGCTTCTTCGTAAGCATTTCTCCTTTCCATCAACCTGTCCATTTCTTTACTTTTGGCTTCGGAAATGAAAAGACTAAGGGGCATTCGTAAGTGCCTGCAAAGAAAAACAACACAAATCGAAAAGGTTTAGTTCATCTTAAGATACCTGTATTGTGTATCAATCAACTCTTGTTAGGTTTATATGGTGCGTGTTCAAGATAAAATTTCTTTGAACCTGCAAACGTTTTTAAAAATCCTCAAAATTACATTCTCGGAAAAAAAAAATGAAAACCGATTCCCAAATAATTTCGAAACATAAAGACGGCGTATTTCAGAGAGTGAAACACCTGAAAAAATACATCCGTCGGGCCCATCATTCTTTTCAATTTTAACCGCTAGGCTCTGGTAGACTTGTTGTAGTAAGCTCATTATCTTGTGTCAAGCATCAAGAATACTGCAAGGATTTGAATGTGGATGTGGCGCTCTTGCGCGATGTTAAAAATAGAGATGGTATACCTACATATCTCTTAGCCTTTTCCAAGCGTTCGGTTATTAAAGCAAAGCGTTTGTAAATGGCGAGAAAGTAGCGGAGAGATTGAAGAACGAGGGAGGTCTAGGTCGGGTCGCTACCAGACCCAAACTTCCTTCTTTGTTCTTCCATCGCGCCGTTTAATATGTCGGTTATTATTTCGCTCCATTTTATTAAATGAGCGCCTGAAACATGCTACACATCTACCTCACCTCATCTTAATGGCTTTGTAGACAGCAGGAAGAACTGTGTGTGAATCAGTGGCCCGTGTTCTCTCAAACTCGATATAAGCTCTGAATTCAAACACAACGTTAATCATTCAAGTTACTAAAATTGAGATAGGATACTAATATCTCAAAAAAACAACAAACAAACTTCCAAGAGTTTTAATTCTTTGTACAGTTTTCATTACCAACCTGGTATCTTCAAAATAAAGAGCTTTTCCTTTGCCGCAAGATCTGAACAACCTGGCAATCTGTGACCTGTAAAGCGCACCATGGGCAGGCATATTCCTGACCTGAAATTAATTAAATTGAGTACATCAGCCACGAATTGTTGTTTGCGGGAATGTGCAAATAGTTATACATTTATAGGAATGGGCAACCAAATAGGCATTTAAATAACCAGCCAAGGAAAACGATTATGAGAGGACCTGTTTTGAAATAAGTGAACCAGGTCACTACCTGCCAATGAAGCAGTTGGTTATCAACTACACGTATAATTTTGCTAGAGGCAAGTAAATCGCTGTAGTAAATAGAGTGCTTTTCGACTGACTGCCGTACACCAAAATAAAAGCGGTCACCAAACTGCCTAAAGAGCGGGAAAACGCGGGTGACCATCTTGTATCTTATAGGTCGCGAGAGTGGCGCGAGTTTTCTGGACCAATCACAGAGCAAATTAAAGCAAAACCAATGCAACTCTGGATTACTTTGACACTCGCTTGAAAATTGCTTCAATGAAGAGCTGACGCGTCGATCATTAGCCCTGTATAGGTGCAATTTCCTCCCAACAAGGGACAGAGCTTCAACCGCCACTATATCCACAAATACTATGCTACATACCATAACTGTCGTGAAAGGATCATGGCCTGACATCACCTTCATTACGTCAGTTTCATCAATATCACTTGAGGCGAAGTAGTTTGGGTAAAACGCTCCACAGATCACAAGCTGTTGAGGAACGAAAAAATGTTATTAACGTCTTTGACTTGTTAGAGTGACCAGTATTTAATATCTCCTCACAATGTAACCCCTGAGTCAACATTAAGGTCACGAGAATTAAGGAAATGATCACCAAATAAAGAAGCTCTTGATTGTTAAACAAATTCAACTTGTCAGCACCCTAAAGAAATATATAAAGAAAAAGTACGGAGAATATGTACGCTGATATTGCATTGAACTCAAACGAAACAAACCAACCTTCAAAATGAGAAGAGACTCATCAGAATTGCTCGCCCTGTGAACGAAAAATCAAATTGTCAGACCAGCACTTGCGCTTCAACATATCAAAATTTTTTTTTAATTGGTACAAAGGAATTTCAAATTGCAGCTTACTTCTGATGGAGAGGTTGGTTTGTTCTGAGATTTAGATCCTTAAGTCTGTTGGTCAAGTCAGTAACGAGTTCTTCAACCTTAAAATAAGAACACGTAATCAGGCCTTCAAACATCAGAGCCAGCAATTGATAAACCTTACTTATCATCGCTACGTCAGTTACAAACTCAACACAAAGCTGACAGCAAAACATAAATCCATTGAAAACCATGAATTGGATTTTGTCTTTCTAACTAAAACTTAAAGGAAACCCAGATACAATATTTACTTTCAACAAGACATTTAGGGGGCTGCACATTTTCCTCAAACAGCCCTCCAAGCTGCGACTGTTCTGGTTGTCGTGAGATTAAAAAAGTCGAAAGTCGCCTATTTGTTCGGAGGTCACCCAAAAAGCTTTACCATATCACCCGTCCTGCCCCGCCCACGCACTTCCATAAAAAATAATTATGATAAAATAAAAAGGCATGAAGAAAACTAGACGTGACGTGAGTCGGTCCGGAAAAAGCCGGTCCGCATATCATGACCTTGAGCCAAAATAATTCCCCGTGCGGCCCTACCACGCTGTCAATTAGAACACAGTTATGCTTTTTCTGCTTACTGTTTGTGGTCTAAGGTTTAGCGGGATGAATAATTGCATAAGATAAATATTGCGCAGAGCCCTTTCTAATTTTTTTTTCTAAAAGAAGTTAGCGTCGTGAAACTGATGTCGTTTTGGCGGAAAAACTGCGATGGTTAACATTTCACCAAGAAACTCCACATTTTTTTCCCTCGCAATTTCCCTTGAATAATTTTTTTTATGACGACTAACATGTTATCTTTTGCAGTCTCTTTTTAATTTTTAATCGGGCAAGTTTGAAAAACTTTGTGCTCGGAGCCTTCCCTAATGAAAGAGGGTTGGATGTGGCCACGCCCAGCCAACAAACAGTCGGGCAAACCAAACAACATTTAAGATCAGTCAACTGAACAAGTAAAAACCATAGGTAATCAGCGTTTGAACCATCAGCAGTGAACATACCTCTCTAATACGACCCGGCTGGATCAAGTTCTCTTTACACCATGCTGTTTCACCCTGTGAAGAAGTTCAGAAATCAGAAGCACATTACAGCTGACGCATCGCACTTTCATTTTATATCGATAATTTTCTGTAGCACACATACACTAAAGGCAGTCTCGTACAAGTAAGAGGAAAATTTCCTTCAATTTTCTCCATTTTCCTTGTTTAGTTTCTGCAGAAAAAGGACAAGCTAAAGAGAAAACAAAACATTTTGACCAACCCTTGGGAATCCTTTGCGTCTTTTCAGAGTGCTCCATTCCTGCCATGAAAACGAGGAAGTTTATCATTCGAAAGATGTCATAATATAACATGATTACTGCCGAACAAACAGTCCAAATTGCCTGGACTAGGTACATATCATACTAATTCACTTTACCTTGTAGGCATTAAGAGTCACAATGCAGTCGCTGTGTGAATATGCATCCCAAGCCATCTTCTTACTGAAAATGGACAATAATTTTTTTCTGAGCAAAGCAAACATTGAAGCAATCCCTAAATAATCTTTACAATTGAAAATCATTTAAAATAAAAAGGGATCCGCAACTTTTAAGGCTAAACACCGTTGTGTTCTGTAATAAATTTTTAAAAAGTCTTCTGAAAAGTGCTCTTCTGTTAGTAGATAACAACGTAAACCTTACTTACACATAGGCATTGAAGTCTCTTTTGAATGGCTTCGCAAAAAATGACTGCAAAGACATTGAAGCACCTGAGGAAAAAAAAAAGAGAAACGAACGGAAAAATATACTAATCAGTATAGAAGAATGATTAATCACTTAGCAATTTCTCAAAAACATAACTCATGAGTACAGAATAATCACCATCCTTGCATCATTATCAGCACTCCACGTTGTGACCGTTTTGGCCGCCATGGCGAGTGGAAAATATATTTGGCGACTAAAATTTCGACAAATGTCGCCAATTGGCGACTAACAGATTTGAAAAAAATAATAAAAAACGTGAAAAATGTATCGATCCTTGATCGAATTTTTAAACGTAATCAAACCGTTCGTTAACTCCCAAATACGCCTAAACATAAAATGAGCAGTGATCAATATAAGTCGAACTGATTTCGTGGAGATAAACTTCATTTTATATTCCTATATTACGTGCAGCATTTGACTCTAACGTTCCACTTTACATTAAGAAGTATGGTGATTAAACATCGAGTGATTCAAGACATTATCTACAATAGGGAAGGTTTTAATACCACTATTTTTAAGCTCACTTTAAATGAGATGTTTCTCAGCTGAGCGGTAGGCCAAAATCGTACCCGGTCTCAGCGACTTTGCCGTATATTGTTTCTGCTTCCAGATTCCGTTCCGTTTCTAATTTCAATTTGAGTTTGATTGTCACCAGATCGTATCCGATTCCCTTCCGTTCGGATTCCGACTGGAGATTGATTTTCACCAGATCATATCCGATTCCGTTCCGTTTTCGATTCCGACTGGATCACGGGGTGATTTACTATGTGATTTTAAATTCCATAGAGGAAATGATCACCAAATAAAGAAGCTCTTGATTGTCAAATAAAATCTCCTTGTCAGCATTAAAGGAAATGTCTAGAGAACAGTATGGAGAATATGCATACTGATGTTAAGCGTTAAGTCAACTATAGTTGTATGAGAGCCACATGATGGTCCTTACTTATAACAAGGCATTCTTCAAGGCAGCCAAACACATATCCCAATATTAACAGCTTTCCGAGATAAATGTCGATTGGCAGGCTTCCTAACACTTTGCCAAAAAAGGTCAGTTCTCCATCATAAGGGTTGATGGTATCATTCTTCATTTTAATAGTCAGGGCACCAACCTTAAAAAGAGTAACACATGCTTGGTTAACTCATGAACACGCAAAGACTGTTTTATTCCCTCCAATCAGATTCTATAAATGTTGAGATAGCCTGCTCCTTGGCTCTCATTAGAGACCTTCAGCAGCTAGGACTGCATCGCTAAGGAAGACGTCGATTTAAAAATGAATACATATTTTTAGTTGGAATTTCGCGAATGGCTGGATGTGCTTACCATCTCTTATGGCGCCGCAAGTTAACCTCAGCATAACGTATGAGAGCAGCGTTGAGTTCCAAATGGAAATTTAAATAATCTGCCGTCGGGATTTCCTTTCTCGGACCACGTAAATTCATATGATTTCACGTTATTTTGCAGAGGACGGCTAAGAAATGTACACAGTTTTAAAACGCACGTGCTGAGCTATTATTTTGCTCATTAGATCTTTTGTTTTGCTACGTTCTCGTTGTCGTCGCCCTCGTGGTTTGCTAAAAGTCCCTAATATTATTAGCGCTGCGGGACACTCGTTTCCTGTTCATATGGACTAGTACAAAACTGAGATTTCCTTAATTTACAACAACAAAATAAACTAAAAACAAGTTCCACTTTCTAATTACTTAAGATCAAGACTTACTCACCCAAAAGATAAACTAAAAAGTTGTTACCTGTACATACTAAACTGCTTCATTTGGCAGAAAACCATTCACAGTTGAAGCAAATAATAAGTGTTTTTCAAAATCGAACTCGTTACGTATAATTTTTCTGGCTAGGTAACTGTCTTTATTATTCCTCTACTACGTCATTTTATCATACAAAGGCAACCGAAAGTGCAAAATATGAAATTCTTATTAACCCTTAACTCCCACAACTGATTGACATGTAACTTCTCCCTATAATATCTAAACATTGTCTAGCAAACAGATCATGAGAATATTCAAACTTATCGGGTAGAAGTTGTTATCTTGATCTAGCAACAAATTCTCGTAACTTATTCACAAGGAAATGTGTAGCAGCTTGAGGGGAGAATTAACAATCAGATCTTACGAGTTACAGGGCTAACCAAGCGTGAGGGCCGTACTGAGGAATAATAGCCCGAAGTCGTAGCCCCAGTGCGGCTCTCTCGTTCGACTTGTAAAAGGTTAGTATCTCACCTGTTTTAAAAGCAAGACTGTCCGTTCTATATCATCTGGATCTGGGGGCTGCATTGCAAGTCTTAAAACGACCTTAGGAGGTCCTATGTCTAACAGCTTTACTTTTAAAATAATCTGTTCCAATGGACATCTCTAAAACACAAATAATGCCTATTAAAAACTAAACGAGAACAGCAAACCACATGCGCATGTTCGTGTTTATGTCTAGCATAAATTCATCAGTTCAGACAAATCTGTACTAAGACTAACGCTGACTCGAAAAAATCCTTGTTTGATAGGAGATAAAATGAAATAAAAACATAGACATAAGATTTCCAATTTTAAACAGTTTTTAATCATTGCCGCATGTCCTCGACTGCAAAGAACACTGTCACTTGAACAGATGATCCCCATGGCAACCAATCAGAGAACCCGTTTGACCCATAAGAATTTTTAACATTCCAAGAATTTTCATGGTCTGTGCGTAACCTTTGTGAAAAGTTTACATTGATCAGGAATTTGGCAAACTGTCTGTTCTACTACCAACCTGCATTTCAGGAACACCAAATTCTGGAAGAGCATTTTCATAGAATTCTCTGGTCACCAGTCGAAAGCATGTTCCCGCTGACACACGGCCAGCACGACCTATTGATGAAAACAGTCAAAAGTGAAATAAAAAGCCATCTTAGAAACTTCAGAACTGCTCAAGGCCTACAAATGTACAGTGAAGCTCAAAGATTAAGGGACAGCGCAGACACTGCGGTCAAACGTCAGGAATGCAAGAGGGGATCGATTTTGGCCTCCCCTCTCGGTCCAATTTCCTGCGCAAAATTTCGAAGGAAAACTTAAGAAATAACCTCTGTCTTGCAAAATAAGTAAAAGAAAATTGAAACGTTTATAGAAATGTGTAAAAGGAAAAAAAGTATTGAAAAGGAAAACTCGACTCTTCTTGAACACAAAGCTTATTTAAGTAAGGGTATCCTGTTGATCTATCATTCTTCTTTGAGTTTATCAAAAAAAGGTTGTATGCTTATAACACACCGTGACTTTCTAGCTTATGTGATTGTTTGTTACTCTTGTGAGACAACTTGGTTCTGACAGACTGAAAGCACTTCACCTCGTGATTACAATGTTTGCGCATGCGCAGACGTTTGACCGCTGTGTTAGACTAGTACCAAACGCATGCTTTGCCCGAATGCGTCTGTGGACATACTAGTCTAAATACGCGTCTAGACGAATTGTATCTGCTATTGTTATCATTATCATACCTTTGCTTTGAGTGGCATTGTGCTTTACAAAAAAAAAAGAGAGTTGGTGATGTAAAAGCGCCGGCAAGCATGAAACTTCCAAAACAATAATAAAAGAAAAAAAAAACAACGATAGTTATCGTATGCGTGCTAATTTGGCATCTGTTATTCTTTTCCTTAAAGTTAAGAAAGAAATAATTCGTGAACACGGATCATTTGCTAGAACAACACAGTGCTTATTTCAAAACAACAAAACTTTCGCTCGCTTCTTGGCTTGTGACAAAATTCTGTGAAATGTTAAACTCAAGGCATCGTCTTTCAAACTTTCTATAGATCTATCTTCAGTTCTGTTAGGCAAAGTTCACAGTTTAAAATCACAAAATGCTCTCTCTTAAAATTAAAGGATTCGGCTTCAAAGTTTCTACAATTTCTTCTCCCTTTCAAAAGTATTACATCGCCAAGCACGATATCGCAAGAAAATGGACAATTCCTCAGCTATCATTAATCAGCTTCGGTCACAGACCCTACCTTTACGCTGGGTGCAGCTTGCTTTGGATGCCCAGTGTAATCGTAAACTCTGAAAGTTAGTCTCTGGATCACAGACTAGGCACTTCTCCAGACAAAAGTCAATCACTGCAACAAGACACAGTCATACAAAGAAGTCAGTGAGAGCTATTTTTAATGAGTATTTAAGCCCTGTTTCCTATATCCTTGGTTGTGTTAAAAAAAAAAATCCCCAGAAATATATAACAAAACTAGCTCTCCTTCCCAATCCAACACGCAATTTTTTTAAAGCCCCCCCCCCCCCCGTATGATTCAAACCACTTTCCCTGTTTGCCAGGATTTCTTGTAATAACAAATACAGTAATTACTGATATCACACTTAAGACATGACACAAACCTACAATCAAGTATATGTTTTATCCTTTCAATCCCATAAGAGGTTCACAAATACAAATTCTCCTCACAAATCTAGATGACTTTTCCAGCAAACAGATGGTAAGAATAGAAGTTTATAAGCGAGAGGGTGTTACTTTGATCTTTGAAGGTGATGGTTAAAAATTGCACTAATACAAAATCTGTAATAAGTTCAACAATACTTATAAACTTGTCTGAAGCACATTGCATATGAATTGCAAAAGTTGCTCTTTTGTTTAACTATCTTTGATTCTAAAGAACAAGTAAATAGTATGTGTTTGGAGGTTCCTGGTGTAAATCTAATTAATGATAAAAAAATAATTCATAGGGCTAAAAAGTTAGCTCTGACTATACCATATTTTATGTCTGGAACAGTGAGTGAGCTTTCTGCAATATTTGTTGACAAGATCACCTGTCAAAAAAAGGAGTAATAAATCATTCAATTGATATCCCATTTAGTCAATCCATAAAAAAATCAATCTGTTGGCCATCATGAAAGTCCGTCTTGTCTTCAGTCAGATTGTCATAATATTGTCAATCTACCATTCAACAAATCAGTTGGGCGTCAACCTTCAATCCCTTAGTTTATCAGTCAGGCGTAATCAGTCTGTAAGGCAGCCAAACATTTGGCCAGTCACTTGATCAGTCCAACAAACGATAAGTTAATCTCCTAATCAAATATCCATCTGTCAGTCCATTAGACACTTGATCAGTTGTGTGTCCATCAGTACATGTGTGACACTCAATCAGTCCCTAAGCTTTTTCTGTCTCTTCATCTATCAGGGGGGAGAGGGGGGATGGGGGAATTTTCTAAGTGGTTCGATATTCATAAGGGGTATAACAAGATAATTTGGTCAAATCCATTGATACTGTAAATTGACCACTGTGAAGAGATTCTAAAACTGATCCATATTTTGAGTGTTAGCCCTTCATAAGAGCAAATGATGGAGGGCTAACATTCAAAACATCAGGTTTAGAAACTCTTTATCAACTTAGTTGACAAACCAAAATTAATTATCTTCATCTATCAGTCAATCAGTCACTCAGAAATTCAGACATTTCATTTGTCAACTAGTCAGAAAAGATGACCATTTAGTGAATCCACTTGCAAAGTATCTCTGCAATACTGTGATGCTGTATCAGTAAAGGAAACCAAAAGCCATCTCAAGCATTAGTGTCAACATGCTTGGCACTTATACAGTACCAAAAAAAAATATCTGTCATTGTTTACCTTTCTGAAGCCCTCTGGAGGTTTTTTAAACACACCTGCTTGCTCCAGAGTAGTGATTGTGGAATGCAGAGGGAGTATTAACAGTCTGAAACACAACAAAAAAATAGCACTTGCAGTCACAGGAAAAAAGATAATCTATAAAATCATCATAAGGGGCCAGAAGAAAATTTCTCTCTCAAAAGATTGCTAAAGATGACCTTCTGAAATCTTTTGGATGGATTGATGTCCCAACCCCATGGGCAAAAGGAATTGGTGGCAGGCTATACAAGCCTTGCCTGTGAATCAATCCTTCGATTGTAAAGAATGATATTTCAATTACAAGATGGGAAGCAACAGAGGAGGAGGGGGGTCTGCCAGGGGGGCAGGGGGGGATGGGCCAAGTAGCTCATGTTAGTACTATATATTTAATGGACACCACATTGAAAGATTTTCTGAGGTTTTTTCTTTCAGCAACCAAATTTTATAATGGCAACCATTTTACAAGTAAAGGTCATTAAAAGGTGGCTTTTTAAAAAATAAGCTAAATGAAATAGCATCCAGACTAAACCTGAAAAAAGCTGCAGCAATAAGCAGGACTGTCTGGCTTTTAAACTGCTTTTCAACTCACAACAACTTGTTTTTCAGTCATCACTTGTAATAATAAATAATAATAATATTAATAATAATAATAATAATAATATTAATAATGATATTAATATAAATAATAATAATAATAATATTAATAATATTAACAATATTAATAATAATGATATTAATATAAATAATAATAATATTAATAATAACAATAATAATAATAATAACATTTTAACGTGTGCATTTCACTTACTTGCAATCTCTCAACATATCATCCAACAAGCGGTCCATCTGTTTAATTTCAAAATAACCTGAGAAAGGAAACAAACCAAAACAAATTTCCATATTATTAAGGCAAACCAATGGACTTCAGGATGAGTTTTAAGTATAATAAGACCCACATCAAATTTTACTCAGGCAGTATATTTCTGACAAGATCAAACTTACCAGGTAAAAACATCAGTACTGACCCACGACTATGAGGTGTTCCTTCACTGTCAAGACAACCAAACAGCAACGTAATCAAGTTATTTACTTATGAGCAAAAGAAGTCATTGCAAATCCAAAGATATGCTTACAAGCAAGGCTAGACCTTGTGAGGTTAATTATCTAACACCAACTTATAAATAAATATCAATTATTATCATCAAACTGCTTTGTTTTTAAATAATTATTTGCATGACCTTGCATAAATGAACACAAAAGCTCCAAATTTGTGACTTCTAGAGCTTTTTTCTCACAAGCATATTATCTTCCTGTGTGACTGATTTGCTAACATTTTTTCACTTTGTGCAAAAATTGGCAGATGTTGGTAGCTTGCTGTGCAGGTAAACTGCTGCAAAATTGTGGTGCGTTGTACTTCTACACAGCATGGTGCAAATTAAATGGAGTTCCACTGATAGCTGTGGGCCACTGAGGCTGTTCATGTGTCATATACTTTTGTCCTGATTGCAAGATATCAATCTGATTTTTTTTTGCAGGTTAACCCTTTACACCCCAGCATCAGTATACAAATTCTCCATACTATTCTCTATACACTTCCCAAGGTGCTGACAAAGAGAATTTCTTTCACAATCAAGAGCTTCTTCCACTGCATGCATGATGATCATTTCCTTTATTCTCATGACCTCAATGTTTGATTCAGCAGTGATATTGTAAGGAGAAATTAGATTACTATCAAGGGTGAGAGGGTTAAAGATGTCTGTCACAATAATTATTGACCTAAACTGGCAAGTTTGGCTCTGAACATCAGGATTTCCCCATCATAATGAGGGATTCCTGATTTTCAGAGCTAAATTTGAAGTGAAAGTCGCAGTCATGTAGATGAAGCCAACACACCAAGACTGCTCAGAATGATGGGACTAAAGTGCAAAATAGTTTATGTAGTGTGGGATATTGATCAAATGAAGCCTTTAAGTGAAAACAGGCATCATCAGATCTTTGATCAATATCCCACATCATTACGACATGCTACTAAAGGACATGTTCAAACATTTAGTTTATGTAGTATTTGAATTTTATGAAAACAGGGATCTAGGGGAAGAACGATGACTTTAGAGAAAATACCAACCCTGAAATACCAGCTGAAGTGTTGGCCTCTAAATTGTCAAGATGGCGAATCAATTGAGCTGCAAGCTCGTATGCTACTTGACTAATATCTGGCTCTTCAAGGTTGTTCTCTGGGATCATCTGTGAACAAAAATGACATTAAGCACCTTGATAATAGTCACACTTGGTGCAAGGTCCAAATTTTCTGGTAGAGCCAATTAAAAAGAGTTATCACTTTATCTTCAGGAGATGGAAGAAGGGAAGTGAGTGAACCTGCTTTGTATAAAAATGGGGCTTAGGAAAGTTTACAAAGTTTGATTCTATCTCAAACTCTAAAAAGTCAGAGTGGAATTCTCCTTCCATAATTTTTTTTTAACATTTTGGACCCTTGAATTCAAAGTCTTGTTAATGGATTTTAAGGCAAAATTCCCATAATTTTAACCTGATGTTGCCCTCTCTAGCCCCTACTTCCAAATTAAGATTGATCCAATTGAAAGGTCTTTATAGTCAGTGTAGGAGAAACCAAACATATTTACTATTTAACTTCCAAGATCTAATTGTAATTAATTCTTCTCTCTAGCTGCTGCACATTTCATTATGAATAAGTTATGCAAATTTAGTTTTACATCATGAAAACTTTTACCAGATGAGTCTGCGTTACATTTTAATCACTTCTGGAGTTAAAGGGTTAACTTACCCCGATACCAGTGAGATCATCAAGATAGCTTTCTATCACTGGGAATGATTTGCCTTCAACAGTAACCACAGGGGCACCTTCCACCCTGCCACGCACAGGGACAGCAAAATACATTGAGAAAAGGTCACTTTGAATTGTGGCTGACATAAGGACAATCTATGAAAAGAAAAAAAACAACAAATCAATACAAATTACAACAACTTGTTGGCCTCTAAAATGTAACTTTGGACGAAGGCATTTTGCACCATGTGCTGTTGCTCATTTTCAAACTAAAGTTGAATTTGATTTTCCTTAACAATTCTTACAATGTCCCTAAGTTTGTCTCAGTGCTTTTGTTTTCCAATTCTGTTATAATTCCTCATTGGAACACACACAATCATTTGTTTTTACTTTGCAATACGAAAGAAAAGAAAACTTTATTAAGCTTTGCATCATGACACTGTTTGCATGTTAAAAAAAATTCTCTTTTGTTTAGCATCTTTAATCATTGTAACAAGCCTTAATCATAACCATTTTTCCTGTTTTTCTGTGTCATTTAATTATAAACATGACCATACCTAACCTCCTGCTGAGAAACACATTGTACTCTTAAACCCAGTGTGGAAATTACCAGACCCTCTTTATTAAATCAGTTTGAACAATTGAAGTTTACGATTTTAGTTTATGAAAAAAGAACTTGAATGTAAATCTACAAAATCAGATGCATACAGTAGCTAGGAGCTTGTATATTAGCAGACTCTGAGGCTTTTACATTATCTCTTGTGTTTAAACATACCTTGACATGCCTTGAGTTTGTCCTTAGCAGCTTTTTAACAATTAGAAGACAAAAGTCAGAATCTTGCTCACGCTCATGAACCTAATAAAATAGAACAGATTAATTAATACTGTGTGCCAAAAACTTCTTAGGGCCTCAAAATACAAATATAAATTTTACACCTATTTTGATTGGTTCTTACAACAGTGACATACTGGGCTGCACCACAAGTACCACTTTTTTGTTCCTACCACATTTTGAAGTCATCTGTGATCTATTATTGAAAAGATGTACAGCAATGTGGAATCCCTAATATATCTATACACTATCCAACAAATGGTTAATGAGAATACTCAAACTTATCAGGTAGAAGTTGTTATCTTTATCTAACACCAAATTCTTATTACTAATTTACAGGGAAATGTGTAGCAGCTGGAGGAGAGAATTAAGAAACAGATCTTGAGAGTTAAAGTGTCAATCTGATGTTAGGCATAAACAGTTTAAGTTCCAAATGATATCCAGCTTGCAAGGTCTTTCTTACCTCATCCAGAAAAACATGAGTGTACTGATTCATGTTCTTGGATTGAATAAGCCTTTGGAGCAACACACCAGTTGTGACATAGGAGAGACGTGTATCTTCACTAACACATTTGTCTCTTCCAACCTGGTAACCCACCAAACTGCCTAAAGTCCAACCCCTCTCTTGACAAACTCGCTTGGCAATGCTTATGGCTGCAATACGTCTTGGTTGAGTTACGACGATGTTGCAATATCTCTGGTTCTTAACATACTCATCCAGTACATATTGCGGCACCTGGGTTGTTTTTCCACTTCCAGTGGCTCCTTTATTCAAAAAACAGATAAAATAATTGAAACAAAAACAACAACAACTACTAGTACATGGTTGTTGCTAAGTGCCAGCTACTGGCAAAATTCACTGCCAGAAAAAGTGACAATTGCTGGCTGGATTTTTGGTTGGCAATCACTTGGTAAAGCACAACCAGCACTTCTGTGGTAACCCACTTAGAAGCATTCAATATCCAATGCTATTGTCTGATGGGAAAGACTTAAATATATTGATATATTTAGATATCAGTAAACAACTATGAGTGAAATAACTCTTAAAATAAATAAAACATTGTTTCTAGCACTCATTTACAACTTCTTTCTGTATCCTGCATCAAGCATTTTATAAACAAGAAGCTAAGTAGCTTAGCCATCCTTAAGGTGCCATTTTTGAGCTGCCTCATTTTAAATTGCAGCCAGCAGCCTAACTTCTTGGCTACAACAAGGTTATTTAGTATTATCAATACAGTTTGTAATGTAATTTGGCCATCATAAAAAGTTTCAAGCTGATGTTTCAGGTGTTAGCCCTTTGTCAGAGTGAATGAAACATTCAAAACTCAGTTGATAACACTAAGCTACCCAGTTATACTCTCCCCCTGACACAGCACTACAGTTTCTTTAGAAACTCAATCCCTCTAGTCTTGGTTACAACCCAGACCAAGACCCTCACACATGCATATTTATAAAGGTCAGGTCAGTAAAAAAAAATCTCCACAGGAGTATTTTTTGGCCAACTATCAGTTTGGAAATTATGCAGCATGATTCTATCAATTTATGTCCAGCTCAACATTTCCTGCTATAGTTCCTCTAAAAAACCAAAAAATCATTAGAGATCAGAGGTTTTCTGCTTAGGTACACCATTTAAATCTCTTCAAAACCAAAGTATTGAGGATCAAAATTGACTTATCAAGAATTGAATACTTTTTGGTGATCACTTCTTCAATTCTTCTATAAATTAAAAAACAGAGGGCTGATACTGGATATATCAGCTTTACCAATTAACATTATCAACTCAGTTGAAAAAACCAAATTATTGATGTATATATAATGAATGTATGGATCAGTATCAGTATCTGGGCAACTACCCACCTACCCCTCCCCTAACCCAACATTAACCCTAAGCTGTTATCAATAGACTGTTGTTGGGTTAGGGGAGGGGTAGGTGGGCAGTTGCCCAGATACTAATATTGGTCTGAATGTATTATATACAACTGCATAAAGACAGTCACGCATATATGTACAAAGTATATAATTTCATCGACATGCATCAGATAAAATAAGCTCAAAGTCTCTTATAACTTTACCTTGTATAATGGTGACTGAGTTGCTCTCAATGGTATCAATGATTTGTTGTTGGTAAGAGGTGATGGGAAGATCTGGTGAAAAAGTGTGATCAAAAGAGTAGTTCTCAAAAATATGAGCTGCCTCCTCCTCTTTCAAAGCTGCTGGTAATTCATCAGAAGCTCCAGATGGAGGGTTGAGTTCCAGCTGGTCCAACTCATCGTAGAGATCTTCCAGCTTAGGACCAGATGAACAGTAATCTCCAACGTATGCAGGTGAAGCTGGGGGGCTAGTATTGAAAGAAAATTATTAACCTCATCATTTTACATTCCACAACTTCAGAGCTGGTTGGAAAAGACTCTGTTGATTTGTTCCTCTCCCCTCTCTCCACCCTCCACACCCAACCCCCCCCCCCCCCCCCATCACGGAATAAATGTCACATGTCACACGTCACATGTCAACAACTGTGGGTATAAGCAGTGCAAAATCAAGTTCCAAATTCTTCTTGTCCAGCAGCTTATGTCTGACATAATCAACGTCCAAATCGTTTAAGTTATCGCATTTTTCGCTATTCCATAGGACAACCATCAAATTCTCACCTTTGCATATTTTTTCTTGCCATTTTAAACTGTTGATTCTCAACATTCCGCCTGCCTTCTTCATAATGACGCCCTGTTATCTTCACATTTGTCACAGCGTTTGGTTTCGCAAGCGGCCTTAGACTGAAAAAGTCCTTTATCTGATCAAGGCTTATATCAGCCATTTATCCGCTATGATGCACTCACGTTAGTACCTCATTTTCTTCGAACTCTTTCTACAATCTACAATGTTTTGTTTTTCAGCTTCCCTGAGCGCACAGGTTTACCGCAAAAAAGAACTGACCAATGAAAAACTCTGTACTATTCCAAGTGACCAATCACATAGCTTAGTACAATCTGAATGAGCCCGCGCTAATGTTCATATGTAGCATGTGGTATCTTCCGCGAAAATAGATTTCGAGTTGACGATGTTGTGTGGAATAACATTCTTCATTCATCATGGATGATTGGCAAATTTGTCCAAGATGCAAGACAACGAAGTACAGAAATCCAAAGCTAACGCTGTGGGTGAATGTGTGCGGCCATAAATTGTACGTCAACTCTCTGTATAAGCTCATTTACTTAAGAGATTTGTTGAAGGTTTTAGACTGTCTTGCATATTTAGCAATTTGGGGTCTTTCATAAGTGCAACTGATGACAAATGACAATGACATTTCCTTGATGTGTCATTAATTACAGTAATTATTAGTAGTCTAAACCCTAACTGATAAAATTTATGTCTAAACCAATCAGAATTCTGTAATATTTAAAAATGGCTTGCCGAAGGCAAGGTGAATATTGTTAAATAATCCCCTAGACAAGGTCCAGGGAACTATTTATTAAAATTCACTTAGCCTTAGGCATATAATTGTTTTAGTATGATAGCTTGGTTTCTTTCAAATTCTGTTGTGAACAGTTGTTTTGATGTTAACACCATTCTGTGTCAATTATTTTGATAACTCGTTTCGAGATAAAGAATCAGGTTCCACTAGAATGTGAAAGGTTCATTTGATTAAGTCGGCAAATATGTCTTATCTTTCTTTTGCAAACTTAACCCTTTACCTCCCAGAAGTGATTAACACAAAACTTCTCCCTCACAACATCCATACATTCTTCAGCAAACAGGTAATGAGAATATTCAAACTTATCAGGTAGAAGCTGCTATCGTGATCTAGTACTAAGTTCTCATAACTAGTTTACAAGGAAATGTGTAGCAACTATAGGGGAGAATCAAGTATTTCACCTAATTTGAGACACCTAATTTGAAATTTAGCCCTCCTGCCATAATCACCTTGCAGGAGGTGATTATAGATAGATAAGAGGCAATCATTGACCAATCAGAAAAGTGCGCATCTCTATAATCACCAGAGCAATAATACTAATGTCATTTATGTCCTTAAGGTGTGAAGGCTGCAAAGACACACTTTTCACCAGGCCCTCTGCAGCATGTCCTGAATGTAACACACCACTGCGACTCAATGACTTCAGACTTCAACAGTTTGAAGATCTTATAGTGGAGAAAGAGGTGGCCATCAGGAAGGATATCCTAAGGATGTAGGCCTAATGAACACTAGGTGTTATCAACTGAATTGATAACATGAATTGGCCACCACAAAAAGTTTCCAAAGCTGACATTTCAAGCATTACCTTTTTGTCAGCTCTTAGGAATAGCTTAAACTCAAATGTCAGCCTAAGAAACTCTTTACAGTTGCCAATATTATTCATATCAACTACAGTTGATGAAACCAAATTATCTTGAATTTGAAACTCTCTCACCAATGCAGCACACAGTTTATTTGGAAACTTACCTCTTTATTCCAACAATAACTTAGCTCTCTAATTTGGGGTAGTAGATTGGACATGAGTTTTGCCATCTTCTGCTCTTTTAATTAATTGCAGATAGGTATCAGTTTCTACAGGAACTGTTACACAGCATTAACTAGAGGATGATGAAGCTAGATTATAAAGGAAATGATCACCAACTAAAGAAGCTCTTGGATGTTTAAACCCTTTAACTCCCACGAGTGACCAAGATAAAATTTCTCCTAACGATATCAATACAGTATCAACCAGACAAGTGATGAGAATAAAGAAAACTATCTAGGGTATTTGGGGATAATTAGTTGATCCAACACTAAATTCTTTGAACTAACATTATAAGAATTGTATGGTTGATGGTAAGGAGAATTATGAATTTGATCAGGTTGACAAATTCACCTTGTTAGTACTTTAGGAAATGCATAACGAATAGTTTGGAGAATATACATACTCATGTTGAGATGTTAAGGGTTGATCCATTTTAAGCTTCAACAAAGTGCTTAGTGATTTTTTGTTTTTCATTATTCTTCTTTTATTGTTATAATCAGTTACAACAAGCGTGAGGAAGATTTTAAATCTGAACCAGATCCCTTAAGAGCATACAATGACTATCTAGAAGATGTGGAGAGCATAAGTAAGATGTCTGAAGTTTTGCTACGTGTGAACAGTTCTAATGTTGTAGAGAAGTAACTGCCCAGTGGTTTGCATGCTGGACTTGCATAAGAGTTGTTACTTACATGTATATCTTTTGGGAAAAGGGAGAGGAGGGGGGGGGGGGGGTAATTGTCCAGAGCCCAGTTCTTTAAAGGGCAGATAACATTATCTGATGGATGTGAGAATTAATCATTTACACCCTAAGAGTGACCAGCATCTAACTGCTCTTTACTGTATTACCGTTAAATCACTTATTAAGATCATGGACATGAAGGGAATGATTGTCAGTCTAAAGGGCTTTGATTGTTAATCAACTTCTCCTTGTTAGTAGCAAAGAAAATGTACAGAGAAGAGTTAAGAGAATCTGGACATTGATGTTAGGGTGTAGAGGGTTACAATTAACAAAAGGCATTAAGCCATTCTCCGGATAGAGATTTATGCGGTGGATAGCTAGGGTTTTCCACCCTTTGAACCAGTGGAGCCACTTGGACAAGTACCTGTCTTAGTTTGTGCTATAGAAACTGTCAAGTCCATTAAAGTCCCTGATTGAGAAACATAACATGTGTAATAACCTAACAATCCTAATGCCTAATTTCTTGCAATATCTCTCTCTGTTAAAAAATAAAACAACAACAACAACAACTCTGAATTTCCGAGGGTACCTAAAGAACAACAGTAACTGATAAAAATTTAGAGTGTACATAAAAAGATTTAATCCTTCAATGCCCAGATGTGATTCCCATGTAACTTCTCCCTACAATATTCATCCACTATCCAGCAAACAGGTAATGAGAATACTCAACTGTATCATGTAGAAGTTGTTATCTTGATATAATAACAAATTCTTGCAACTAATTTACAAGGCAATGTGTAGCAGTGAGAGGGGAGAATTAACAACCAGATCATGGGAGGGAAAGGGTTAATATGCATCTAATTCTATTTCTTCATCGCTTATCTACTCAGTATGGAATCTTGCAAATGGACATGAGGTTGATGAGACAAAGAAGCAAATTAAAAAGTATGAAAAGGAAAATGAATCACTGATCAGGAAAAACAAGTTGAAGTGGGTGAGTACTCTGTCTCATGGTGCTGTTTTTCATGTTGAACCCTGTGTCCAGAAATGCATGCAGTACAAAATTGGAAAAGATTTACCAAGAGCATCAGATCCACCAAGCTGATTTTGTTTTGACGAATCTGACTTAAATTCTTTAAAATCATCAATTCCACCAAGCTGATTTTGCTTTGACATATTTGACTAAAATTTGACTAAAATTAATCAAAATTGTCAATTTCGCCAAGCTGATTTTGCTTCAACAAATTTTGCAAAAAAATTTGTCCAAATCGGCAATTCTGTCAAGCAGATCTCACTTTGAACAAAATTAGCCAAAATTGTTAAATCCATGAACATTCACTTGGTCAGCCATTTTTGTTACTGCATGCATTTCTGGGTTGTGTTGCTGAGTGGGTAAGGCATTGGAATTGACTAATCTGGTGGTCCCAGGTTCAAGCCCATCATCTTGCTTCTCACTGGATTTGTTCTCAGTTGCCACAAGTTTAACTCCTTAGCTGCCCTTTGTACAGAAGTCGACTGCTCTGCCTCCTAACAGTTGGGACTTTTAAGTAATATGTGCCAGTTATTTAAACGAAGCCATTGTTTAACAAAGTGAACCTTTTGACTGAAAATTTATTTTTGTAAACAGCGTTGAGGAGGCAGAAAGCTAATAGTGGAAAGACATTTATTTGATCTAATCAAATCAATCAGGAGAATCCCTAAGGTCCACTGCTTGCATAAAACCACACTTTGGGTCAGACATGGTATAAATAATAAGCCCCATATTTATTGATTCATTCATTTTATTCATTCATTTGTATTGACCCTGAAAAGCCCCATTGGGGAAGTGGTAAATTTAGCATACATGTATACCTACATACATACAACCCTTTTAGTTGGTGTTTTATGACAAAGCAAGGAGAGAAATGCATTGTGGGTGAACTTTGCAGGACAGAGAAGAAACTTTCGTTCAGCACCAGCTTGATGAGCAACTCAAACAGGAAGAGCTGCGACGTGTACAAGCTGCTATGTTGGAAAAACAGGAGAGAAATGACAAACAGAAAGAAAATGAGGAATTTCTTGACAATCTGGTAAAGAAGATTTAGATTACTTGGGCTCCTTATTGATGAGATAGTTTGATGAAGTCTCAACCCTTTACAGAAGAATCCAGTGTTTAACAATCAAGAGCTTCAATCTTTAGTTGGTGATCATTTCCTTAATTCTCATGACCTTAATGTTTGATTCCAGGGTGATATTGTAAGGAGAAATTAGATGCTAGTTACTCTTAAAGGCTAGAGGGTCAATACTGTTCTCAGTAATAACAATTCATTCTATTTCAAAGTCAATTTTACTGCTTATTGGTAAAAAATGTTAAAATTGTGACATACATTTAAACACCTCTTATTGACCAAGTTCAGTAAGTTACAGAACCAAGCATATTCCTCTTGCATATATGGCTCAAGGGAGAAGTGTTAGTGCCATAACTTGGTGGAAAAAGACGATGTTTTGTAACTTACACTATGAAGAGAGAAAGAAAACAACTGAAATTTAATAAGATGTTAATATTATATAACCCTTTAACCCCTGAGAGTGACTAATATCTAATTTCTCCCTATGACATCATCCCTGAATGAAAGATTAAGTTCATGAGAATAAAGGAGATGATCACCAACTATAGAAGCTCTTGATGGTTGAACAAATTCTCCTTGTCAGCACCTTAAGAAATGTATAGGGAGCAGTGCGGAGAATATGCATATTGATGTTAGAGAGTAAAGGGTTAATATCTCTGGGTTCAAATAGTGGGAGAAGATTTCAGTTTTAAGGCTAAGTTGACCAATCGTAATGTACTTTCTAACTGAGAGATGTAATTGTGCACATTAGCCTGATGGATCCATTTCCAACTTTCATTGCAGGTCAAAGGGGATCGTTCGCTGGATGACATTATAGCTGAACATGCAAATAATTTGCAGAAGAAATCTTTGCTGTTTTCAGCGCAAAACACCCAAATGACTTCAGTACAAAAAGTAAGTTGGTGATAACACATGTAAGTAAATGCTGGATTTATTCTAGGAATAACTTGGAGTTCAAACTGTTTTCATAGATAAATGTATTTATTCAATCCAGCATCCAACCTTGCAAACAAAAAATTAATTGCACAAGAGGAGTATTGCCTAATATTTCCTCACTGGCTTACAATCCTTAAGTTCACTGTCTATCATACAACTTCACATTCTTTTTCTTATGTTTATTACTTTTGGGTTTTTTTTTTTTTTGCAAAGCAAACTTGCTACTTTGTTGAAAATGGTGAACATTTGATAAACAACCTGCCTTTAGTAAGAGCCCACTTCAACTAAGCGCTAGGTCCATAAATTTATTAAATTTGGCATGTGCACTGAATCAGTCAACCCGTCCATTCATTCATCAATGGTTTCATTCTTCTGTCTGTCCATCCAACCATCTATCCATTAAAATGATCCAGGATGTCTGCTTGTACATCTCACTCACTTCTGTCAGTCTCCCCTCCTCTCCCCCCTCACCTTTGTCTTTGTATCATTCACGTCATTGGTATTTTTATATTAGCAGGGTAACGCACGTAGTTTAAGATAGTAAAGCGTGTGATATTCAGTGTATTATTGTTGTGTTTCAGGAAACATTTGCTCCATTGCCGTTGGCTGAAGGACCCAAGTTCGAATATGTTGCTCCACAAGTGATAACTGATGGGCCAGTCGCTCCAGAAATGGAAGTATTAGCTGCAAGAGGGTCAGTTTAAACTTATCTACATTTAGTCTCCATTTTTTGTTGTTTTTATTGAATGGATTCCGAATCAGTATTGCTATGTCATGTACATGTTACTGTCTGAGAGAAGTAAGGTTTCGTTGAAATTTTTTGCTTATCACTTCTCTGAAACATGAACGCAGCTCCTATTTTGAATGTTATTCCAATGGGTTAGCTTGTTGTAAAGCTCGAACGAACTCACGAACACTTTGAATGAAGGGGGTAAGTTTCTTAAGAAACTGTGGTGCTGCGTCGGTGGGAGAGTATAACAGGGAAATATAGTATTATCAACTGAGTTGGTAGCGTAAATTGGCCACTGTAAAGCTTTGAAACCTTTACGGTGGCAAATTTACGACATCAACTCAGTTGATAGCACTAAATTACCTCGCGAAAAAACTGTTGTGATTTCCTGAGGATCTACCAGTTACTGTGGAAGAAGTTTTCGGGTTCATTGCTTTTTCTTGTTCGTGTCTAGAGCAATTCTTTCAACTAAGTGTTGGATGTAAGTTTGAACTGCATTGGTTTTAATTAACTTCACTCTGTGATTGGTTTACAAAATTCGCGCCACTCTCTTAACCAATCAGATTTAAGCTAAAGCAATCACGACTTGGTCACTCGCGTTTTCCCGCGTTTTTAATGCAGTTTGGTTGCTTTTACTTTGATTTCTCCTTGGCTTTGTAGAATATTTCCTTTTCTTCTCATTGGCCATAGTGAATACTTTGGTTTTGGTTTTACGGCACCCAATCGAAGCGAGATAAGAAACTTTTAAAATGATAATAAAATTTAACCCCCTTTTGGCAAGGTTTCATTAACTGGTTACTGGCTGTGCACCAAGATGTCGAAGAGGAAACGAGTTCAAGCATCCAGGGTTTTTAAAGCAAAGTTTTCAGACCTGTTGTAAGATATTAAACGTTGTCAGGCATTTGTTTAATCTTCTGTTCTCGACATACATTGAATATTGGATTTTTTTCTTTTAGATACCTTCGTCATATCCGTACTGCCACAGAAGGCGAGAAAGCGGGAGGGTATACGTCTGAACTAGCCTGTGGCAGAGCAATACAAGAAGCCTTTTCGGCGCTCTATATAGGTGCTGAGTAGAAAAGAGTACCACGAAGATTTTTACGGAACAGTCGCTTCTTTCTTCTAAAAATAGCCTCACACGTTAAAACTTCGAGACTCAGTTTTTGGGAAGATCTGACGCATTTCGCCCTTGTATTAGTGAAAGGTACTGCGAGAACTTGAATATAGACTAAGTTTGTAAAATCACTTTTTAATAAATGTTCATGATACAAATAAAATATGGTCATTTCTTGGCGCGGAAAATTTGAGTTTGAGCAAGAGAACTCTCCTCAAAACCTGCCATTGACGGGAAAGAATGAAGCCGATGACAACTGATAAGCGCGGGAAAACTTGCAGCCAGTGATAAGCGAACCAAATGTTGCAGCCAGCGTTAAGTGCGGGAAAACTTAAAATCAGTGTTAACCGCAGGAAAATTTGCAGCCAGCGTTGAGCGCGGGAAAACTTGCAGCTATTGTAAGGCGCTCAAAAACTTGCAACCGGTAGAGAATACTTCCTATGCCCTCTACCCACAATTAGATCATCAAATCATAATTAGAGGGTCGCAATGAGGTTTACTGCCAGGCGTAAAACGGCCAAACCATTTAGCCGTTAGGCGTTAAAATCGACGCATCTCAATCACCAGTTTTAAAAAAGAGCTACTAACTGTAAAAATCTTTCTTCGAACTATAACGGAAAGAATTTAACCGTCAGCTGTAAAATGGCTAAAGTTTTAACCGTCAGCCGTAAAAAGCCATCACCCCAATAAGACCCCTCCGCTCAAAAATCATTCAATTTTTAATCATACGGACCAATGGAGGTATATAACACACATACAATCATAGATTGAATTTAATTAAGAGAGGGATCCGATTATCCTTATGACCTAAAAAATAGTTTCAAGTACGTAGACTTCTACGGATATTATTTCAGTCCCTGTAAATGAAATCACGAAATCCCTTTAATCTATAACAACTCTTTTAAAAAAAACAGGATCCTATTTTGTGGGAAAATGTCGCCATGCATACTGTTCCCAGTTACGCCTTTTCTCGGTCCCTTGGCTTTGTAAACAAAAACTTAAAAGAAAGCGATTTTTAGTTATTAAAAGTCCACCATTCCAGGAAAAAGGTTCACATAGAAGCTGTTCGGAAGTTATGAAGTTTTTTTTCAGGGGCATGGAGTGTCTCTCGGACAAAACGCAGCATCACATTTTGGGGTGCAGTCCAGATACCAAGAATAAGTGCAGCCTCCTCCACGATTATCGGTGTCATCTCGAAACGGCAATGTCCATGCGGGAACCTTGTTTGCGCTCCATCCACTGCAGCTTTGGCGGGAACCCTGACACTGAGAGCTTCCTTCTGTTTCTTTAAAGCAGACTCGACAAACTGGTTTCTTTGTAATAGTTGTAATTCGAGATTCAATCTTCCAAGCATATTTACAGCCACCACCTCTGCGGTCCGTGTCATCTCGAAAAGAACTCGTCCAAGATGGGGTACGACTCCAATCGGTACACGAGCGTCGGGACCCTTGGCACTGTGAGCTTCCTTCCGTTTCAGCAAAGCAGAGGCGATACTCTTTATTTCTTCTAATGTTATGGTGTGCCTCAATCTTCCATTGATACCGACAGCCTCCAGATCGCTGGTCAGTGTCATCTCGAAATGGCTGAGTCCACGCAGGATTTGAACTCCAACCACTGCAGCTGTAAGATGGTCCTTGGCATTGTGAACTGCGTTCGGTTTCTCGGAAACAAATCCTGAAACCATCCTCGGCCCAAGATGATGACAACCAGCCGATGACGTACACGAAGATTAAAAGATGCCTTCTTGCAGGGGTAAACATGTTTCTTTGCTGACACTGAGTTCAGTTTTCAACCACAACAGTCCGGCTCACTTAAGATACTAAGATCAACAAAAACAACAAAAAAAAGATAACGAAAAAGATTCAACAATCGATAGATGCACGCGGAAGGGCAACAAATGGACAACGGTACGGAAGATTAAGCGAAACGGAAATTAACATTTTCTATTTCGGGGCGATAACTTTGATCATGACTAAATCAACACACTAGTAACATACTAGTAACATACGAGTACGTACGGCCAAATACGAGTGACATACGAATACATACGGAGACACACGGGTGTAATTCTCCATTTTATCTTTCTTAAATGCATGAAGAGTCACCAAACGGTTTTTGATTGAACGCACACATGCGCCACATACATGAGGCTGTTTTCTTTTCATTTTTTTTCTTTTTTTTTTTCTTTCGATCCTAACCCAAAGACGTTTTTTTATCCTGTTTTCGTGGGAGAAGGAGCTTGGCAGATTTCCACCTTGACAAGTTAAGGAGCTTAGACAGTACTCCCTTAGGAGGAAAGCGCGTTTGATCTTCGACCCATGAGAGTCTTCCTGTTTACGCTTCGCCGCTAATATTACGGATCTATAATATTTTCGCCATTGCAAGTAAATGTCGCGAGAACAATAGGCATTCTGCCCGATGGATTTTCGGGTGTCTGAGGTTTTCTAGTTTCAAGGTCTGAGGTGTCGTGACACCATTAACAAGGAGAAATAATTATTCATCAGGTACCAAGTGGTAATGGTTTTGTTTTCGTTGAAAGAAGTTCAACTCGAATCTAACTCAAACTTGAATTCAGACTAGATGGTTCTCTTTTCCTAGCGTTGTGCAAATAGGTCCTGACGGTTTTAATGAAAAAAAGAGAGAAAAATGGCAAATTATGACCTGTGTGTACTTGTATGTATCTGTATGTTACTAGTGTTAGAATTGTTTTCTCTAACACTCGTTTGTGGACTGGTGGAACCTTCTTTATTTGCTACTCTCCTCAAGTTGTTACAATAGGGACTAGCTTCAATCTAATTAAGGAAAACTAGAGTCTCCGCTTATAAAGGTGTCACTGCGGATGACATTTCTAAGCCGTCAATCTTCTTGTACCGCCCCCAAATTGCTTCTTGTTGCGAAAACATGAGGGAAATCACCTGTTTACCCTTAAATTACCTCTGGGAACACGAAGGTGTCGAACGCGACCTATTACCAGGGAGATTTACTCTTCCTGGACTAACAAATTAACTTATTTGTTACTCGTGTGGTATTAAAGTCATAATCGATAAATGTTTCCTTCCCTTTTGTTAACGTTATAGCCACAAACCAAGCACAAAATAAAGGTTTAAAAAGACAAGAACAAGGAGAAATGGCATCTCATCTTTCAGAATGATATTAACTTGTGGTCGAGCCAGACGTTTATAATCGGATGAGAATATTAGCATAAACACGGAGAACGCGTGAATGACAAATTTTTGCTACATATAGTTGCTCCCTCAGTTATCAAAATTCTCGACCCTTATCTTCTCCGCTTGCGAGACGCAAAAGTATCAAAAATTTCTTGAGGGTTTTAAGATTACAACCAAACCCCAACTCATCAAAATGATAGGCGAATCGCGAGTATTAAAAGTAAGGAAATAGTACCAAAGATACTGCGATAAAATGTATGGCTGAAATAGAAAATTCGCAGTAGAAATTTAAGTTTAGTCAATTTTCCCCTATTCATGAATTTAGATCAGAAAATTCAGTGAGACTGTACTTACAGCAGATTCTACCAAAGGAGATATTTTTTTGTACATACCAGTGAGTAGAGAGGTTGAGTTGTTCATGAATAATCGTGCCTGTTCAACTGACAATGTGCCTAGACGTTGATGACTTTTATTGCCCCCAAAAACAGAAACAACATTCCATCACGTACGTGGTGTTCAAAATTTTTTTTTTCGTTAATGAGATTATGGTGTGATAGTTCCAACAAAATAAGACGCCTTCAGGAAGAAATCGTCCTAGGTGCGCTGTTCAAGAGAAACCATGGTAAACTATATACGCCCTAAATAACACTGTAAAGCTTAAAGAGTATAGATTATGAAAACGAAAAACGTTTTAGCAGTTTGGGTAGGCACGCAAAAGCCTTTCAACTCAAAAGAGGGCAACAAAGGGTTCCTACGCGTGATTAAGTTCCAAATTAATTTGAGACGCGTCAATTCTACAGAAAGGCAGGCGGTGTGCACACTTTGATTGCGTTGCATCATGGTCGTAAAACGAAAAGCGAGTCATTTACCTTCTGTCGCGGTCGAGTGAACATCTCTGGTGGCAGCAAGATAGCACGAATAATGATAATGATAATGATAAGGGATTTATATAGCGCTAAAACTATAAACAATATTCAGAAGCGCTTTACATAAGTTAAAGTTCTATACTAATTAAAATAAAAATATTCAAAGGCAATAAACATTAGAACTATTGAAACAAACTGAAAGCTTTCCTACATAGAAATGTTTTAAGTTGCTTTTTAAAAATGGCGAGGCTACTACTTGTTCTTGTAGTTAATGGCAGCGAGTTCCACAAAACAGGTGCAGCATGAGCATAGGCCCGATCCCCAAGTGAAGAGCAGTTGGCTTTTGGAACGAACAGAAGAGATTGAGCAGACGAGCGAAAAGCATAATTAGTAGCAGGTTTCAGGGACAAAAGATCTTTAATGAAGGGAGGACTTTGGTTGTGTAATGACCTGTAAACAAAGAGGAGCAATTTAAACTGAACTCTGAACGTTTTTGGGAGCCAATGTAGGTCGATAAGTGCGGGTGTGATATGATCAAATTTTGGAATCTGAAAAATCACTCTAAACACGCAGCATTCTGAACTTTCTGTAAGCGATCGAGTTGATATTTAGGTAGACCGAAGAGAAGTGCGTTACAGTAATCAAGGTGTGAGGATATAAAAGCGTGGACTAGTGTCTTAGTCGATTGAACAGTAAGGAATTTTCTGATCTGTCTTATGTTGTATAATCCGCGAAATGAACGTTCATTCGCATATGGGAATCGAACCAGGACCCAAGGTTCCGGACGCTTTCTAAAGGTTTAATGAGGGTGTCACCAATAATAATAGATTCAATAGATGTTTTTTCAAGTTGTTGGCGGGTGTCAATAATTAGAAACTAGTTTTTGCGTCGTTTATCATTAAACGATTAGCAATAAACCAGCGTTAATTTCGGAATGGATAGAGCAAGGTCGGAAGGAGAGGTAAATCTGGGTGTCGTCAGCATAACCATGGACGGAAGGGAGATGCTGAGAAATAATGTTGAAGAGGCGAGAGACGTAGAGAGTGAATAAAATAGTGGCAATGTGGGTGAAAAATATGAAACGCCCTACATTGATTAGGTGAGTCATGATGCTTTGATGCCATCAAACCACAAATCAGGTTAGTATTGTACTGTTGCGTGCCTACAAGTGCGTGAGCCATAAATCTCTGGGTTCAAACAGAGGGGGAAGATTTCAATCCAACAAAACTTTTGAACTTAGCGGGCTGCGCAATAAAGTACGGCCCGCTGAATACGCGCACATACAAACCAAGCCTTGCATGTTTAATAATTTATTTTCTTGTTATACTGCCTCTATTTCTTTTTTTTTTTTAATTTAACGATCAGAGTCCTAACTATGAACAGATTCAATTGTAACAAGTCTCAAACACCTTTTTTGTACTTTTTGTTTGTTAGGGACCAATGATCTTCTCTCATCATTTGAGGATCATCGAAGTAGCAACGGACTTAAGATCGAGTCATTGCTTGATTACGCCAACCAGCTAAGAAGAGGCAAAGCAAATTCCTGTGCCTGGTATGGGATTGATAAGTGTTAGTCCTGTAACCCCCTAAGAGTGACTAGCATCTATATGTAATTTCTCATTACAATGTTACACCTGAATTAAACACAAAGTTCACAAGAACAAACAAAATGATCCCCAACCGAGAAGCCCTTGCAGAGAGGCAAGCGTCAAGAGGGTCATCCAGGTTCACAGGCAAAACAGACTTCAGACTACCGGGGAAAGGAAAGGGGAAAAAGGTTTAGACATGTCTGCATGGTTCAGTTTGTTCTCCAACTTGGATCCCTTAGCCAATCCTGGTGCGATCGATAAACAAAACAAAAAGAAAGAAGAAGACAGACAATGTTAACTACATGTAATTAAAATCTCAGAATTTATATATAGTGGACTGTAAAACGGCTAACACAAAGCTAGCTCGGCACTTCAAAACCTAGGTCATGGAAGGAATGAGGTTTTGAAGTCAATTGGGGAGGGGTTCATTTGTTGGTCGATGTACTGTCCATGAATTTGAAAAAACAAAAAAAACAAAAAAAACAAAAATCAAGAATGATCATTGACGGCAGGTGAATAAATGCTAGCCCACTAGAATTCTCCAAGAGGGCCAGTAAATGGAAAAAAAAAAAAAAAAGCGAAGCCTTTATAAAGTTATTGTTCAACCTTCAAGGGTCACAGCCATAATATTGTATATTAAAGATTTCTAGGTGTTTGCTGAATGTATATACTACAGTCAAAATTACGCTCTTTGCGGGCTTCAGTACATTTTTTTCTTTCCGAATAACATCAGCAAGTTGTTAACACTGCGTCGACCTCACCTACAGTACATGTTGATGGCCTGCTTTATCAGTGTAGATGTATGTCTTATGGATGTCAGTGTTATAATAACGCTTGTTGTTCTAAATGTTTACACCACAAAACATGATGGAGAGTAGGGCTATGAAATTAATATAGGAGCAAAGTTACGGAGGTTTTAAACTAAGGTTCCATGCCTTGTGACATTATTGAAAATAAAGTCATGTTTTACTCGAATATGTAAGTAAACGTTGTCAAGCCAAACAACAATCCCAGAAGTGATCGACATGTAAATTCTCCCTATAATATCCATAAATTATCCAACAAACAGGTATTGAGAATACTCAGACTTATCAGGTAGAAGTTATCTTGATCTAACACCAAATTCTTGTCACTAATTTACAAGGAAATTTGTAACAGTTAGAGGGAGAATTAACAATTAGATCTTGGGAGTTGAAGAGTGAAGGGAGAGTCAAGAATATGAGAACGTAAACTTGAAATTGTGATTGAGGAAATGTCAAAAAATCTAGGAGCACACAAACTTTCAAGAAAGTTTGTGACATGTTAAATCATACTAAAAGTCCAGTTTGATTGAGACGATACTTTGAGAGAATCGAGACTGCAGTATTACAAGGAGGCACTTTTCAATCTTATTAGCACAATGAAGATTTAGACTCATGAAATTAATTATTGTTGACTTTATGAATATGCACATTCAGTGTGGAACTAAAAAAATACCCCATATTAGATTGCAAAATGAAGAAATTGATAGGGATCTGAAAGTCAATTTACAGAAATAATAAAAACCAAAAAAATTTTATTTTCCGATGATTTTCTGACAGTTGTAGAAGGACTTATCTCTTGTTGTAATATAATGTTTAACTACTTCTTGGTTTATTGAAGTGACAAGCATTTTGTCAAAACAAAGTTCAGTCAAACCAAATATTAAAGCAGCTGGGTCTGGATTCTTTATTAACTAAAATTTGAGATAACAACTGAGTTTAGAGTGCAAGCAGTATTTCTGTGAAATAAAAATTACACTATATATCATTTTCATATATTCATAGTCATTAAAAGTCACTAAGTTGTAAAAACTAGTGGTGTTTAAATAAAAGAAAACAATAGAATTAGGACAAAATTGTACAATTTAGCATTACTGTTTCACGCTGTTTTTACTTTCAACTGCCTTGCCCGCCTTGGGCAGTGGACCAAACTTAAAATGTACCTAAAACTGCCAACCCCCCCCCCCTCAAACTTCTTTATAGAAAGTTAAATAGCCTCCCCCTCTAGCTGATCTGAAATAGCTTTGACCCCCCTTTTTTTTCCCCTCCCCACTCAACGTAAATTAATACCAGTCCCTTAAAACAACTACAGTGAAATTCGAATTTCAATCCTTGTCGTAAATACCGTGCATTGTGTTTGTAAATGCAAAATATCCTTGATACTAGGCAAGCTAGTTGAAGGAGTATCCTTTCTCCTTTTCATGGTCGTGACTTTTCAATTATCATAAATGCATTCCTTATCACACCCAGATAATCCTGAGGAGAAAGCAAAAACTGTTCCTCAAGACGATAAAAAAATTCGTCCAGAATCATACTCTTCTCCTCAGCAGAATGATGGTCACTGAGTGCTGTAGGAAAGAAAAAACGCAGCGTCATTTATTGCCAAGTACCTATATACGTATGCAATCGTTCTCAGGGCATTCCCACCATTTCCCAATTTCAAGCTAAAAGCCCTTGAAACGAGGTTGGCACAAAGAAGCAAATATGAGCTTATCAGCGGAAATTTTTAAAATTTATTTTGGGGGAACTTTGAACAATTATTAGATATTTTGAGCATGGTTTGGTGCAATTTTTTAGAACTTTTTTTTAATAAAAGGTCTAACCTAACTGACTCAAGGTGGGAGTTGATACCTGACGGGGATAGGAATATACCAAATTAATATACGCTAAAACAGTGGATAGCGTTAAAGGCGCGCTCTGATTAGCTACTCAAACTCCGAATATCCTTTGCTATTCATCTCCGAGCAATGCAGGCGGGATTTGCCCTTGAAAATGTTGTATTTTTTGCAGGAATAAATGAGTCAAAATCAAAAAGGATGATCGTAAATGTTTTCATGAATTGCGAGAAAAGTGAATCACTGATTATGTATCTGCTCTAACATTTCCCATAAAGCCATTGGGTCTCATCTTCATGCCTTTTTAGGTGTTAGCGTTTTTGAATTTGGGTGTATACT